TACGTGATGTCGCAATGAAATATATTTATGACAGATGCCCCGCAGTAGCTGCCGTCGGMCCCGTCGAGAACCTGCCTGAATATAACAGAATTCGCTCATCGATGTATTGGTTGAGGGTCTAATTCATTTAAATAAACGAAGAAATGCTTCAAACAAAGTAGTGTAATTGAGAGAAAATATATTGGAAAATAAAACAATCTAAATGAAAATATCCGTTAGTGAAAAACAAGCGTAGTTTAAATCGATTTGTATATTTTACTTGTGAGCAATAAATATTTGAATGTCCAGTTACATAATCCTTAATATATATTATACAGAAAATCTAATATTATTGAGAAGCCCTTTAACTTAATACAAATACCCGGAGCAAAAGTTTTTTTTTAGAACACTAATAATAATTGTAAATATGTATGTATAAGTAAAAATAATGGAACTAGTCATGCGTATAATTGGTTGGAATACCACTTAGACCTTTTTCTATCTTGGCTGGCTCTGTGTTTCCTAATGCTGGATCAAGACCTTTCCAAGAACGATCTTCAAATGTAAGACCAGTATTGGTGGTCATCACTTCCATTTTTCCTATCCCAGAAAGCGACTGCTGCTGCTCACTTAGTGCTGCTGCTCCCTCTTCTACAGTATCTTCGGTAATGCCTCGAACACGACCACTAATTAAGCTGACGTCTTGTTCCTGTTGGACTGTAGGATCAAAAGCTAAAAACCTTTCTCCTTGCGGTAGCAACTTTTTAAAATCGGTTACGTATGCCTCGGGATATTTCATATGCCATGCGGGATTGAGTGCCATTTCAGCTTCGAATACTGATACAATGGGTTTGTAGTACTCTTTGGAATTATACATATTATTGAAAGGACATCCAATTAGCACGAAACAATCTATTTCTAAAAAGTTCGCTAATTTAGCGGGATTAATCCGCCCCACAGAAATAATCTGAGTCTTTATTCCACGAGATTTAGCCATTTCCTGTAGTCTAGAAACAATTTTTAAATAACCCTCGGCTGTAAGGGTGGCCACAATTAGTCCAAGAGTTTGAGCATCTTTACACTTCTCTATGTAGTGGTATCGTCGGCGGATATACTGGGCTGTTAATGGATTTYTTTCGAACAAACTATTTTTATTTGGTTCATAGATAAACCATTGTGAAGCTGCAAACAAAAAGGAAARTGAGAAAAGGCCAACAAAAACTGTTTACACAGAATAACTGTAATACCTTGGGTTGTGATGGATAGGTTAGAAAATCTTGAGTTTTCGGAACCGACAAAAAGGCAGATGGGATCATTTGGGTGTTTTTGCTCTACTACGTCCTCTGCGGGCGGATATGCTTCAATGAATAGTTCTTTACATGGCAGTATTTCCTTTAATTTATCTAAAAAATATTTTATACAAACTCAGTTAACAAAAGCGATGCTTATTACTTACAGCTTAATGAATCTTCATCAGCTTCGTTTACACGTTTGTCTAACAAATGATGATAACCTATATCAAGGTATATAAACAAGACCCTTCCATTGACAGTCTCAGCCATTGAAGACAACTTAAGCATAAAATCTTTTAAATTAAAAGGATATTGTGGATACATATACAGAACCGGAAGACGAGATACTCTACTACGACAAGCGTTGCCAAAATGAATCAGGCTATCTGCCTCAACATGGCCCGCAGCTATCTGTAATATGCCTTTTTTACTGGGATCCAAGTTTAAGATATTTCGAATGACAATTTACCTCATCTACGCAACAGCTGCCATAGGAGGTGTCGGCCAAGATAAAAAGTTTTGTATCCGTCGACCCACTGTTGGGAGTGAACAAAGCTTTAAGACTATCACTTATCTCGTCGCTATGCGGCAAGTAATGGTCAGGAAATTGAAGACAGACCTAATAAAATATTTTAATTTATTTTGTTTCATTTATTACTGACAAACAGTTTTACCCGCTTGTATCCATTTTGTCGAATCCATCCCCAACAAATTTTTAGTAGGGTGCCATTCCAAACCTGTTCAAGCKGAGGTGTGACTTCGTCTTCCTCCAAGTCTACTTCCCTTTCAATTACTTGCTCCGCAGAGTTATAAAAGGCTGATGTGCTCATTGCAAATAATAAATGATATCTTGATATCAATGAAATTATTTGGAACTAAAGAGAATATATAATGCAATTTCTAACAAAAGCATGAGCTGTGTTAGGGTTGCTGTGCTGTTTAAGACCAGTATTTAATTTTATAATACAAAAACTCGGATTTATTCTATAAATGTTTTACCGCATACTCTAAGTTATAATTCTGTACGATATATTTATGTATCTCTTGCATTAAGTTTTTTATATTAAATTATTTGTTGTCGATTCTTAACCATGGATATTTTTTCGATGTGGCATCCCCTAAGGGATCTCAATTATCGATTATTAAAATCGGCAAGATCGCTGAAGAACTGTCAAAAACTTTAGAGGTTACCACAAGTACTACTTTCCGTCATTTTGTATATTATTTTTCCATGTGACATAGCATTTAATGATTATTGTAAATACTTAGGCTGGGATTTAGAATATCATCCCCGACTTTCGGGGATAAAATKGGTATCACTGGAAAGGCGACGTTCTCCAGATCACGAAATAATATATAATTTGTATATTGTGAATAACTTTTTCACTTATATTATGCACTTTTCACTTACTAACACTTCACTATRACGTTTTCGAACACCGGGGTGTTCAGGGTTCTTTCGCGTAGAACTCCTCTCGGCAACTTTTTTTCTTTTATAAAAAATTGCTAAAGAGTTTTGGCGATTTCCATTTATGTATTTTTGGTATAAAGTTTTTGCTTATTTTCTTTTGTTGACAACTAGGCAGATATGGCAATACCATTTATTTGCTAGTATGCAACCCTATTCTTGTTGAGCAAATGCAGGGAATTTAAAATAAAGCTTTATTTGCAATAAATATTAAAAAATTAATATAGAAAAACGTTTTTCTATATATATATATATACTTGATCTGGAGAACGTCAACTTTCCAGTGATACCCATTTTATCCCCGAAATCCGGGGATGCTATTCTAAATTTGACCTAATTCTTAATATCATTGATATATACTTATTTTAATTTTAAAATGGTTCTTAATATTGCAAGAAAAAATGTTCAAGTAAAAAAATTTTGTATTTACACAAAAAAATTTTCGTTTAATCAAATTATATGTGAGCTGGCATCTCTGAGAGCTTGAAGGAAAAAGAAAACGTCAATTTAGAGAAAGCAAAAGTAAAGAAACGCTATAATTTTTTCAAGCTATTAATTCCGGAATTTTCGAAAAATTTGCAAGAACTCACGTAATTTTCTTGAAAATATATAGAAGTGAATAATTGAACYTAAGTAATTTTAAGCAAGTTACAAAAAGAAAATACTCTACAACATGGATGAAGCGCGTGATGAAAGCCAGTTTATTGTGGACGACGTWAGCAAAATAATTAAGGATGCTATTGAGAACACGATCGGCGGCAACGCCTACCAACATGATAAAGTAAACAACTGGACGGGACAAGTTGTGGAGAACTGTCTTAACGTGCTTACCAAGGAGCAGAAACCATACAAATACATTGTTACATCGATGATAATGCAAAAGAATGGCGCCGGTCTGCATACAGCCAGTTCATGCTATTGGAATAATGACACAGATGGCAGCTGCACTGTGCGTTGGGAAAATAAAACTATGTATTGTATTGTATCGGTATTCGGCCTGGCTGTTTAAGAATTGATGAAAATATTGAAGTAAGGGGACACAAAAAGCGGCTACAGCCAGGGGAGGGTATAGACTTTTTAGTTGTTTTCGGTGGACACAACAGCAAAGTAAAACAGTAAATACTATAGAAACATATAACATTCTCAACACATATAAACGCTTATTACAGCCATTTGAATTCAATTATCAAATCGATTTATTACTCTAACCAGAGAGCTTGTAACAAAAAAATGTGTTAAATCTTTTATAGCTGCATAAGTTGTTAAAACTACAAAATAAAATAAATTTCGTAAGGCCTTAAATTTTAATAAAAAATATAGTTGAGGTGGAATGCGTAGTGATTTTAAGAATGTTCAATATGTGCAGCAATTGACTATAAATTCAAATTAAAATCGCAGAAAATGTATTTTTAGAGGGTACCGAAAMTATGTATGTGTATATGGAAGCGCGCGCTTTACTTGAAAAACTAAAATATTTACTACTAGGAATTCCGATATTTTTAGTTTTCGATAAAACATTAAAATCTTAGTGGTTGATTTTGCCATTTATTTCCGAATAACCACGTACATATATGTATACATAAATATTTAAGGCTTTGCATCTAAAATTGATAATAAAATACTAATATTCTATATAATATAATTTTTTATTGGGTTGGGTGTAATTTTCTACACATTCAATGACAATAATAGGCTTTTGCCTCAGCGGATCTCTAAATTAGACGTAGTGACACTTATATGGACTTCGCACACACATGCGTCTCTGAGCAATTATTTCTTTTATTGACACTTCAGGTTTCTGCTCATGAATCATGCCAAGGTAGTTAAAATTCATAATTTTTGACCTTGGTATTTTTTCATATATGTACGTATACATATTTATATCTGTAGGTCGACTAAATTCTGTTGCTTTAGAAGTATTTTAACTTTTCATTGTTATCCAATGGCATGCAAATGACGCTTGCTGTGTACTGTGCTGTTATCAAGTTAGAATTTAAAAAATAAATATGATACSCTTTTATTATGTCATTCATTGCCCATTGACTTTTCGATAATAGCACAAAGCAGAAATGAGAAAACCGCCAAAAATAGTTGTTTATGCTTAGATATTTTCATTTATCTAATATTTAATTATGCACGAAATGAAAGTACTAATAAAGCGATATATTCATAATTATTCATATTCATAATATTCACTATTTAGAAAAAAAAACTGTTACCCGAGTATGATACAAATGGCAAAAAGAAAAAGATAAAATTCGTATCTTTTAATATCTAATCGTATTTATTTAAAAAATGACTAAGGCTCCAACTTTTACAGAAACTAGCAAATGTGAGCGATTATTTTTTTGACTTCCTACTAAATCCCATTGGTAACGCAGTCATTTTGCTTGGCAAACGTAAAGTCAACAAATCTGTCTTCGATGGTCGGACTGCATTCGCAATATGGGCAAACTTCACCAATTTAACTTTTGAAACACACAACTCCTGAGCCAACACATTCAAATCCACGGTAAAATTTTCGCTGATTATCAATGCAAGAACTATAAAATAGCACAAGGCTTTTTCCGATGTGTGCGAAGTGCGTGAACTAGAAAAGGTAAAGTGTTGGTTTTTAATATATTCTGTTCTTTAGTTTAACAMTAATTCACTTACAAAGGTTTTGAATGAGGATCAGAAAAACGTGAACGAACATCGTTTTCCGCTTTTTCTGTAATGCCCGATAGTTCAATTGTTTTGATTGAACGTGCACGACTTTTGATCAAATTTAGTAAACAGTCCATGTAGATAATTAATTTCAAATGCAAAAATCCTTGTGGTGTTGGCGAATTATCCTGTATACGTTTGATACATTTGCACAAGTATTCCGACTTTATTCTGAAAACCCATTAACAATGAATAAAAAATTGGCTAAAATTAATATAAAAATACCACTTACGGTAGCTTTTCCACTGGTGTCGAGTAAACCACTTTCGATTCCTCATCTAAACGTTCGAGCAGATCTGCAGGCACAATATCACATACATCATACATTTCTTCCACCTTTTTAGCATCTTTATTGAATTTAGGCCGCAAAATATCAAAGTTATGCTGCGTATCGGGTTGTTCYTCGCCTTCCTGGTTTAACTCCGCTTCACGCACAGTGTTGTCCAAATCATTTTTTAGTACTTCGACATTCACCTTATTATTTTCTTGATTAGCTGCAAAACGAGCAGCTTTTCGCCCACCAAATTGTTTCATTAGCACGGCTCTGGTGTGTTCGGCCGTAAAAGTTGGCAAAGGTTTTTGCTCAAGAGTATTGAAAATATGATTGGTGAGGGTAGCTTGTTCAATGGGAATAATGCGAAGCTATTGTGATAAAGATTTTATAAAGTATCATCAGGAAGCAAATTTTTTAATCAATACCTTATTTGTTATTTTATTGCGGACACAGATATAAGTGTCTGTAAGTGCTGCAGCCTCTCCTTCATCCATCATACCATGATAAATTTGGTCATTGGCAGTCACCATTGCAATATTGGCATTTGTCTCTTKGCCACGTTTTTGCTGTAGACGTGTAAATTGTGTAGCATCCTTACTTACGGCTCCTAGTTGACCATTTTGGAATTTCACTGAAAACATTTTTTTGGAAGCATTAAATGGGTTTTTCTTTTTGATCTAAGAGAAACTTACACAAGGTAGGCATTGCGGCGTTGCGTTTGCGAGGATACACCTTTTCGATAGTTGCTTTTTCCTTCATTATTCTAATTTAAAGAAATACAACTTATTTTATTAAACTTAAATAAGAAGAGTAAGAAAGTTTTCAAAACAACAATGAGACTACACGTGAARAAAATGACATTAGTGATGTACGAACTTTTTTCCTAATTTGGTGGGTATTCAAGTGAATACCAAGTAGTCGTTGCTGTTACTTTATACATAATTTATACCAGAAACATAACCAAGAATGATACCATTTATTCACATGTTGTTGTTATTGCACAAAAATTAAAAGTTTAYCTCATTTGATTGAAAATGCATAATTTAATTAGCTTTAATATATTAACTTTATAATGTAAATTCAAGTGCATTTAAAAAAATCAAGTAATTATGTCAAAATATTGAAAACTTAAAGTTTATGCTAAAATGTAGAAAAATAGGTGTTTTTTCTCATCTTAAAATCCATAGTATTTGATATATACTTGTAGTTCTGTTCTCATGTAGATTTAGTCATAGTATCGGCGGACGTAAAACCGAATCCGCTGAGTGTATAGTGTTTACTTTTAATGATATGCACCACTTGCTGCATTGGGAAGATGAATGAACCGTATAGTAAAAATTTGTATGAAAATATTTCGAAATACTAACCATAACCAGTTTAATTAGRAAAACAGCAAAGGTCAAAAAGTTTATGCTAATTAAAGCCGTCTCTGGAGGGAAGTTAAGATTTGATTCTCCTAATATACCGCGTCTGTGGCGCATGTGAACCTTGGGTGTCCAAATCATGCTAAATTGATCCTCTGTTACGATTAAAGAAAAAGCAWTACATGAAGATGATGATGCCAAATTAAGTTACAATCTCCAATTAGGCATATCGCTTGCTTACTGATAGAGTGCCATAACTCAAAAATTTATGTTAAGTATCAAAATCGCATATAGCTATTTAAACTTTTTTCGCTAGATCATTTAATTATCTTTACAATTTGAATCTTTAAGGATCCTTAGTATTTTTTGAATTAACGTCACTTTTCTGTTAAACAAGCGACATTTAATTTTACCTATTAAATGCATCATTTTATTTTTCAAACGCTTCAATTTATTAAGTTTCTGTTGGAATGTCATTTTTGATTGTTTTACCCATCTGCTCCGCACAGTTCTTAGAAAGTTTATAAATCCTCGAAGCGTTGGATATTGTACGCCTTTTATGACGTGGGACAACATATTGGTGTTTTCCACAGTAGAACTTCTTTCATCGCTTTTATCTGCATTGTCCTCAACGAGCATTTCCTCGCTATGCTCACTGTCATTTGGTACTTGTTTAACCGTTGCTCCGGCTCTTTCTACTTCTAGCTTKGCTGCTAATTGCTTTTCTGTGCTTTTAATACTCGGTATTCTTGTTGGGCCATCAACCTGGCCTTTAGTTTCTAACAATTTCGATGCTGGATCAAGCATTTTTCTCAATGTCTCCACGTCTTTCGTATTACTGAAGCGTTCGCGTTGATATTCCAACCATTCTGGGCTGGGCGTCGTTGCAGGCTCAGAATTATGCGTTTGCAGTTCCTTAGACGCGTCCTTCGCGTATGCACTGTGAAAATAACGATTTATTATGCAAAATAGAATCAAATAACCACTCAAATGTAGATTCAGCATGTTGATTTGATTAAAGCTCTTGTAGTTATGAATGATGAGAAGTACTATATATGAAGTACWAGAATCTCAGTCTGAAATTATTCGTTGTTTGTGGCTGCGTTGAGCGCATTTCACGCATTTTGAGTTTTATTATGCTACATGTTATTTTTAAGAATGTCAACCGTTGCATGCGAATGCACCACTAACGGATCGGTTATTTAATTAATAGCCGCATATTTGTATACAGCATTGGCCATATATTTGCGAACACTTTTGTTATGTTTAAATTTTCACAACTTCCAAATGTCTCCGATTAAATAAGGGCAGTTGCTCAACAGATGTTTTTTTTTTTTTTTACTATTATTTAAGGCCAGTCTCCAATTAATATCCATGCATTATACTCAGTGAATCTCGGCAAATTTTCCATTTTAAAAATGATAAGTAATTGTAAGGAAAAAGTGGAACAGACAGTGTTACGTTTGTTCATTAATTGAAAAGTGTAGCATTTGCTCCATTTGCTTACCGAATTTATCTTACAAAACAACAAACAATTACACTTTGCTTAATTGCAAATATCCAATATTTATTTCGAAAAATAAGATGCGCATCATACTAATAACACATTATATCATAAGACCRATCTTAGCGATCGTAATAATTGTACATGAAGTATATAGCATAGAGTCTATGATTTTTATGTTAATTTATTATGTTGGTATTATCTAACGCTTCTGGGTTTGATGTATAGAATTATGAAGAAAAAATTTAGCACTGTGGTTCAGTTGTTGAAAGCATTTGTAATTTATTTGCCGTTATTTGGCGTCAACAGTAATATTTAAATGTGTTTATTTTATATTTATAAGTGTATTTTAATTAGTTTTCTTTTTTATTCTATGTTAAGTAAAGTCAATTACAATTCCATACGAAAATCGAGTAAGGTACGGTTTAGAGGAAAATTCTATATACATATGTATGTATATATGTACATTTACAYTTACAGTGCATAATGCTCCATTGCCGAAAATGTGTCTTAATCTAAGGAAATAAAAAATAAGTGAGACAAATATGTTTAGAATCAATTTTTACCGATATCTAACGGTATTATGTATAATCAAGCTACATAGACTCCAGTTTTTCAGGTAAAATAATAATATAATTGGCTTAGCACACGTTTTCAGAATTAGAGCAATATGTGCTTTCACATAGYCCACAATTGTAAATACTCGCATAATTCGTTCATTCGACTTTTTGTTCATTTGTTAGTTATAGATAAATTTGTAGAGAAACAAATTCGCCTATTGGGCACTTTAGAGAATTTTGTATATGTATGCCTACTGCCTATGTACATATGTACATAAGTGTACATACATATATGTATGTAGTAGTTGTAGTTAGATCAGTAATTTCTATAAATATTCACTAAAAATAGTTATGCTTTCACGGCTTTTTCTAAGGATTTTCAAATTTAATTTGTGTATCTACTTTGTTTATCTGTGTATGTATGTGTGTTTGTATATAAATCTCATTTCACATTCCGACACAGATGACCACGCATCCATTTGATGGCCTTATCACCGATAGCTTCCACCTTTGGCGTGTTGGGTAAACTGCGGCAGCCACAAGCATCAGCATCGATATGCTGATGTTGTTGTGGTTGTTGTTCTATGGATGACTTTTGACGTTGGCGTGGTCGTTGTTGCTCACCGACTGACAATTGCGAAAAGTGCTGTTGTTGTTTATCCTCTTCCTGCACTTTATCTTCGTGGTTTGCTTGCTGCGTGTCGGCATCGTCGGTCTCTGCATTAACAGGTCACATGTCACCGCTGCTGGCCCATCGTATGTCGTCCGCCTCATGTGTTAGATAACGTGTGCCCACCTGACCCTCCAAATTGCGCAAGTCTCGATAGGTTTGCTTGTCTTGCAGCCAATAGTGCTGTAGACTTTTGTCGACCGTGTAGCGCTTACGCTGCTTAACCTGCAGCAGATTGTTGATGAGATCGATGGCTGAGAGGTTAACAAAGAATTAATATGTACACGTGAGAGGTGCTATTTGAGATCTCTGTCTGCTTACCGTTAGAGGAGATCTCCTTCCAGGGATTTGGTGGATACATGAATGCGGCATTTTGGATCTGATCATTTATGTCCTCCTCCTCATTGAAGGGGAACGTGCCGCTCAAACTGACATAAATTATAACGCCAACACTCCACATATCCAGTGAGCGGTTGTAGCCCTTGTTGCGTAACACCTCAGGCGCTGTTAAAATATCGAAAAACTCAATTTTTGCACGAAAACTAACAGAGATAACACGAGTAAGTCATTTGTTACTCACCTAAGTAGGCTGGTGTACCCACAACTGAGCGCCTAAATGATTTCTCACCAATAATTCTGGCATAACCGAAATCACACAGCTTGACTTGTGGAAATTCGGCGTCGGAGGAGAGCAAGACATTTTCCGGCTTCAAGTCACAATGCACAATATTTTTGCTATGCAAGTGCTTTAGCGCTATGAGTATCTGTGTAATAAGGAATTTCGTTACTCGTTCACTGAGCCGTCCGCGCTCGTGTGACAGAATCATCTCCAACATATCACCCTTAAGCTTTTCCATCACGACAAATATGCGTTCAGGCGTCTCGAACATGCGCTCCAAATTCACAACACCACAATGTGAAATGTTCTGCAAGAAAAAAAAAAATCGTTATTATTCTAATATACATATTTAACAGAAAGCACTAAAAGACGTAAATATGTTCAAAAATGAGAGGCAAGTTCTTTTAAAACCGACTTTCGGTAATTTCGGAATGATTAGATGTTAAAACTCCGACCGAAACGACCAGGACTCCACACCATTAGGCAGTCAGAATTTAATAAAAGTGAACAGTTATGCAAAATCTTGCTCTCTTTCGCACTCATCTTGGCATGAAAGTTTAAGACAAACATTATGCCTACTTAAAACATAACAAAAGTGTTGATTTTCTTAACTAACCTGCAATATGGCAACCTCGTTTTTGAGTTGTGCTTCCTGCTTGGTGGGAAACCGCAACTTATCAATCACTTTAATGGCCACTTCGCGTTTGGTTTTTTTGTGAACACCTCCGTAAACAACACCGAATTGACCCGAACCAAGCACTTCATCCGGGAATATTTGATACAGCTGTCCCATATCCTGGACGTTTTCCTCAGACTCGCAGCATTCTGTGGACAAACCAAGCTAAATCTTGTAGTAAATGCATAAAAGCTCTTTTCTAAGCGGCTGCACTTACGTGTATTTGTTACGTGCATATAGGCCTGTCTGATGATTGTCTCCCAGCTCTTGGCAATATCGGAGCCGATTCCGCTGTCTGACGGTGGCAGTCTTACCGCTTGCTCTTCACGTATGCCCACCAATGGATCTTGGCCCACATAATAGCTGATCGTAGCGGTCTTAAGTTCGAAGCAATAGTTGTTGTCTACGCGCAAATCACGATTTGTGTCTATACCTTGGATTTCCGAGAGCGGTATGTCTTTGTGATATTTACTACCCTGTTCCGAGAGGAATAGCGTCAGTGTTAGCGTCTTCGAATCCAAGCGCCAATAGTGTCGTTTCACTGTTTTGTCCAAGCTGGTATAGTGAACCAGCCAACCCTCTTTGATGGCTTGGCCGCCACGTTTCTTTGTGTGCTTCACAGATTGTACAATACGCATTAAAGGTATATTGGCACTGGGCGATGACGATGAGCTCGATTGCTCCGATTGGCCATCAATTGATTGACCTTCGCCGGCGCTACGTCCATCCGTACTACCGACCAGCCCATTAACCAGTTCCGGTGGCGAATTGTGTGCATTCGTTGTGGTCTTTGGCACCCCAGTACGTGCGGATTTTGCTCCAGCAGTCGCTGTGCCATACCTTTGAACCGTGCTACCCATATAGCCACCGCTAGCACTTGGCGACAGATTGTCTTCGAAATCACTGTCATCGAACTCTTCGCGAAAGAAGTTGTCACCCGCTTTCGTTGCATGGCCATGTGTGGGTGTGTTGTCCGCATAATCATTGGTTTGTAACTGTCGCTCTCCGGTACAGTCGTGTGGCACTTTGTCTAAACACTTCTTATGCGCATTGTATTGACAATCCTTACATTGCAGACCTTGCTTAAACAGACCCTTCAGCAGTTTCTTGCAGTATTGACACACGGTCGGTATGCCATATGTGTGCACCATGAAGGTGTGCGGAATGCGTATTTTCTCGGCGTAAGCGAACGTGGGTGTGTACATGGAAATGTTGGCGCCGAGGCAATGATTGCTGCCGTGGGTGCCATTACGGCTACTTGAGGACGGAGAGCGACTGTGACTGCGATAATGCGGAACACTCTAAAGATACAACAAAAGTGTTGAGAAATAAACGAATCAAAGTAAATTAGAACAAAGAAGATCTTGGCTTTTAAACTTCACTAAGTGATCTGGCGTAGAGTATTTACAATTGCAAAAATAAAACGATAAATCAAAAGGCAACAAATAAATTGAATGTTTATATCTTTATTGAGTTTTTTGCAAAGTTTGTATAAAATGTCTTTATTTATATTATATATGTAATATTGAATAATAAAAAGTATAAAATAATTATTTGTATAAATCTTTTGTAAATGCTCTAAACCAGATCGCAGTAGCGTAAACGACATCTTTCTCGTGATATGTTATAGCTATGAGAGAGAGAGTATTCGATCGTATTCTAAACTACCCCACACCAACTAGAAACTAAGAGTATATATTAAATTACAAATTAAACCATTTTTACAATGTTAACGGGAATGTTTTCAAGGCTTTCAATTTGATAATTAGTTTAGTCTTTAAGTGTTGTTCTACTAAGCTTTCGACTGCTTTCTGTATTTCTCTACTAGTGCTCTGAGCTAACAGTCTAATTCTTAATTATATCGCTCATCAGATCTGACATTCGCTTTACCAGTGAGCTGCCGCCATCGCTTCGCGCCTGGTCTTCGTTCGAGATTAGCGATTGTGTTGAGCCACCCGAAGGACTGCGTGGCGGCTGTAGGGCCGACGAACGTCTCGAGGTGGAATCATTCGGGCGACTGCAATTGTTAGGTATTTTCACCACACAGCGTTTATGGTAGTTTTGGCCGCAACCTGTTGATCGGGAGAAATTTGTATAATGAAAGTTGTTCTGTATTTTCTATAAAAACAAGAAGCTCACCATCACATTTCAGTCCTTGGCGCACCAAGCCGAACAACATTTCTCCACAGAAATCACAAAATGTTGGCGCTTTGTACGAATGTACATTGAGCGTGTGTGGCTTTAGCGTTGGCATTTCCGATGTGGGATACAAAATGGCTGTGTGAGTTAGGAAAAGGACACATGACAATCAATCGTTCATTTCGCAAAAGCTGAAACTTTTAATCTATTCAAATAACTGTACTTACGGTTGGCTGTCAGTACAATTTCTACCAAAGTCTCGTCGACCACTTCCGAAGCCGAGTTGATAATGTGCAGGACATTTGGACTGTTGTAGTCATGACGGAAGAGTAGTACACGCTCTGGCAAATGTGTCAAACCACTGTCGGGTATCTGAAAAATAGAAATGATGATGATAAGATTGAGTGAGAAATGTTAAATGCACTTGTGTAGGTACGGTCTAGCCGAATAAAAGATATTTTAGGAAGGAATGCGACGAGAAAACCGAATTTTTGGACGAAACATATTACATGTAGCGTAATTTATTATATTGATATGTTCCGCAGTTTACAGATAAGTTCGGTAAAAACTTAATTCCATTAGGACCACGTATCAGGTATGCAGTCCACCGGAAATATGGAGAAAAAAACACTTTCCCAAATAATTTTGAAGAATGATGCCATGCTGACAAAGTTTTACCAGCTATAAATCCGGGTTCGTTCTGTTCCGTATATACATACATATATTGTTGTTATAACGGTTATCTAGTCCCCATTAATGTGGTTCAGATAAATTGTTTGTGTTCATCCATCGGTAGGCTCAGGAAACGTGCTGTAGCGAGAGGGGTGTCAGAATCATGCGGGAGCTCGTTACATGCTGTTATATGTTTGATATGGCGGAGTCGATTTTGAATAAGTAGGAGTTTAACTTGCTACAGTATCCAGAACGGACCTGCGCAATTGTTAATCTCGATTCTAGCGTCAACTCGAGATCGTCGTCTGCAATGGGTATTGCTTTGACTCCAAGTACACCATTCCCTGAGAGGGTAATGTGTTATGGCTGCACTCTGAAGGTGTTTATGGCTAAACTGTGAATGGCGATCAGTGCAAGTCTGGCCGGCATATTGTCTTATGTCGTCGACGTAGTTAAGGAAGGAACTCTTGATGTTCCTAGGAGGCTTCAATCAGTCGAAAACATCCCAGTAGAAACTGCTTAGCATCAAGAAGTAATTAAGTACTACAGTAGTATATACATATGAATAGCGTTAACAAATTGAGAGTATTACGGAGCCCAGTGACTCCATTTGCAGCCCTTCAATCACCATAACCCATTATTAATAAGGGTCCTACGCAATGCTCTATTTCACCTAAATTATCATCATATATGTAGGTCGTCTAAATACTTGATACCAATCAAGATGTGTGCATTTATGACCCGTCCATTTATCAGTTATAATAATTTTCCACTGGAACTTACGTGTAAATAAATAAGCCTTCCCATTCGAACAACATTACGAGTCCATCATCATGTGACATTGCTACAAAAATCCCCATGTCATTTCTAATTATGATATTACTTTGATGATATGCAATATTCAGACCGCATTCCACCTTTATCCGAATCGAAATTAATATTAAAAGCGAATGCTACTCCTACACACACGTCCCAACATGCACTGCTAATTTTAATATCATACTTTTGTATATACTATACCATATATTATATAATATGTATGATCAGACTCAAATATAATATTGTGTGTGTGTGTGTGTTGAATAAAACCGAGTACTATATCCCCCGTCATAAATAATTGAATGTGTAGCAAATCGAATTAAATACATTGTGGAAAGGTCGGCTGCGTATTGCGAAAGTCAGTGGTGGCGAAATGTTTATGGACGTCTGGCAAATATGCTGTAATAAAATTAGTGCGTGGCAATTAATGTGCGGAATAGAGGGCGCCGTCCAGAAGGGCTTGTTAGCCTGCTTGGCATGTGACGGAGGAAAGACGGTCGTGCATGGGACAGCTATTTTCCTATAGAGATTATATTGTGATCTATGTATGTATGTACATAGAGGATTTGTTCGGAAAGTAGTAGGTCTGATTTCCTTCCGCCGCGACTGGACTTCGGAGGGTGCGTGTACCGACTACCTAATGAACGAACGGAGGGTCAGTTGTCTCCGAGCCCCTGAAGAGTCAGGTTAAACATTTTCGCGCAACATGTTTTTGTCAGTGGTGCAAGCCTAAAATGTAGCGTTCACGCGATTACATTCTGTGTGAAATTGGGTAAATCTACGACAGAGACATTTGATATGATCAAGCAGATTTACCCAGATGTTGCTTTAGCAAGGAGTGGTGTCTTTCGGTAGCACCAGGCCTTTTGAACACGACGTTCATTGTCTTTTTTGACATATAAACATCGTCGACCATGAATTTGTTGTTCCCCTACAAACCGTCAACGCCTAGTTTTACGTGGAAGGCTTCAATATACTCAAACGAAAGATCAATCGAGTCCGACAAGACATCGCAGCCGATTGAAAGTAGCACCACGACAACGCCTCGGCTCACACCAGCTTAACATTTGTGCATCCATACGAAGTCTGATATATGTAAAAGCTGAGCTGAGGGATTCAAGTAATTTTCAAATTCTAAATTACTTGTGAAAATATTGCATTTAATTCTTAAGACTTGTAATTTATAGGTCACAGAGAATATATGTACATATACACGCATATATACAATGCATACTCGCAAAAGCACACAGAGAACGTACAAAATATTTCTGTAAATATTTTATGTTCCTACGTGTTCGATTTATGGCAGTACATAAATATAGCGCCAGCATGGGGAGATGAACACTCGTGTTGCGAAATTTATTTGCCACTCATAAACTTTATATACGAAGCTATGAAATATTTATGCTGCAACTGAGCTCCTCGAAAATTAAATGCGTTGTCAAATGCTGTTTCATCATCTTTTCAAGCACAAATGATGACTTTGAGACAAGTCAGGAGGTAAAGCGAAAAATAATGGAGTATAAAAAGTGTGAAAATTAAAAATGTGCACATGCACACATGTACATTAAGAAGATAAGATAGGGCTTATCCTCATCTGCGCTCATGGCATTCAGCAATAACTTAATGAGTTTAATTAGAAAATTACGATTAATATTAATAATCTATCAACAAAACTCTAAGGACTTCAGTTTGCCGCCACGCACATTCCTCAACATTCACTCGTACACACAAACACATGTGCGAGTGGAAGTAGCAATTTCAATCTAGATGTGGTTTTTGCGAAAAGCCAGATCGTTAACTTTATGCAAATTTAAACTCGGCACAAAATTACATGCTAAGTGTAGCCCAAGTAACGAACTCACCTTTGTATTGATAAATTCACATGCTAAGTCCTTAAGTGACTTCAGCGTCAAACTGCTGGCGGCCACAGAAACAGCATCGCGCAAGCTGCCAAATTGAAAGAGGAAAGTCACCTCGGGGCCCTCCATAATAACGGGCACTCCAGCGCCCGCCCCAGCACCGACACCAAAACCACTACCGCCGGCAACGAAATTGGGGGCGTTATTGTGGTTGTTGGTGCTATTGAAGTGTTGTCTGTAGTGCGCCAGTGCAACTGTGAATACTTTTCCTGTGGCAGAACAATAATGTAGAAACTGAGATTAGCCTGATGCCTCGGCTCGACTGATAAATGTACTTCCTCTGTCCCTCCGTTTCTTTGTACTTGTGTCGGTGTGTAAGTAAATGATTTTTCTTCTATGGGTGGGCCTGTTGCTTAGCAAGTCTTTTTGGGTATATAACCGTTCAGTAAGACCGCTTTAAGTGGCTAAGTGGATGGCTTGTTTCAATGAATGACCCAAATAAAGAACTGTATTGGACTGGACTGGTCGTTGTCTGTTGGAAGATAATGCTTTGGCGGCGGCTCCACTTCCCTCAAGTTAGGTTGGTTAGTGCTGCTTATATATTTTGCCGTTGTTTACGGTTGCTTTCCAAATATTTACTTCGCTTGGTTTATGAATTTCCCTAAAAGAAAAGAAATAAACCGTATTTTCATATTAGTTACGCCGTTAAATGGTGTAGGGGGTGGAATGGTGTAGAGAGTGATGAATTTTGCCACATATGTATGTACATGAGTATTTGTGGTTACGGATATAATGAGTTATGAAATTATTTTTCTTGGTCAGTATGCTGATACATGTTATGAAACTATAATTCACTTTAAATGTATAGTTCCGAGATGAAATCCGGGTGAGAGTTTGCCTGTCCGTGCAAGCTGTAACTTGAGTAAAAACAAGAAAAACCGTTAACTTCCTCTGCACCGAAGCTAATATACTCTCATATGTAGGTGCATTTCTGTTAGTAACTATGTGCTTAGTTTGTTTGGAATCTATATGCTATAGTAATCCGATCTGAAAATTTTTTTTTCGGAGATTATATTGCTACCTTAAGCAGTAATCCAATGCAAATTTCGTGTTTTCCTTACAAGAACTTGATTCCGATCGTTCAGTTTGTATGTTCCGACAAATGAGCAGCTTCTTGAAGAGAAAATAACGTTTGCCAAATTTTAAAACGATATCTGATGAGGGACTAGTTCGTATATTGTTTGTCAAAAAAGTCTTGCGGTATTTTCGCTAGTTGGCGCTGAGAGCGCGTAGTTCTAGTTTTATTCGTCGCATCGGGTCATGCTATACCTTTTTGGAAAGCTCATTTCATACGCTCACACGTGTTTGATTGATTGTCGTTTCTTTTAAGTCATTCGTGAGTTATAGCGTCGCAAACATGGAGTAGTTTGCGGCATATTTTACAGTACTACTGCGATAAAGGCAAAAATGCATCTCAAGCCGCCAATAAAATTTGTGCAGTTTATGGACCCAATACAGTTTCCACTTCCCCCGCACAACGATGGCTTCAACGTTTCGTTCTGGTGTAGAGGTGATCGAAGATGCGTCGCGCTCCGGAAGGCCTGCGATAAAGTCGCTGAATTGGTCGAAAGAGACCGGCATAGTAGCAGCCGTAGCATCGGTCAAGAGCTGAGCAGGAGTCATCAAAAAAAAGTTATGAACAATTGAAAACTCAATAAAAATACCGCAAGCCTTCTTTGACAACCTATTATACAGATAGACAGACAGCTCGGCAAGCTGATCATTTATATATACACTTTATGGGGTCTCCGTCGCTTTCTTCTGGGTGTTACAAACCTCGTGACAAACTTAATATTCCCAGTTCAGGGTATAACAAGATATCCTATGGGGACATGAATGCCCTATATACATACATATATTATTTGTAGGATGTTATCATTAGGCCCTTGAGAAGTAAAGTCCTCTACCGACGAACCAAACTTTACAAGTCCATTATTATTCCCGTCCTGCTATTTGGCTCAAAGGCATGGACGATGATGACATCTGATGAGACAGCGTTACGAGTTTTCGAGCGAAAGGTTCTGCAGAAGATTTATGGTTCTCTGTGCATTGGCAACGGCAAATGTCGGTGTTGATGGAACGATGAGCTGTTCGAGAAATGCGACGACGTTGACATAGTTCAGGGAATTAACAGACAGCGGCTACGCTGGCTAGGTCATGCCGTCCAAACGGACGAAAATACTCTAGCTCTGAGATTATTCGACGCAGTAACCGCCAGGTAAGAGGAAGAAGTGGAAGACTGGCACCCCGTTGGAAAGACCAGGTAGAGAAGGACCTGGCTACAATTCGAATCTCCAATTGAAGGAGCGGAAAGAAGGACGATTGGCGCGCTGTTGTAGCCGAGTTTACAACCGATTTCGTAGATGGGCGAAATCAGACTAAAACTTTCCACTTTCCAGTAAACAAACCAAAAACTATTCAATGTAACCCGATAAAACTTTGCACAAATACAGCCCTCAAGCTATTTCATCTAATGGCCAAAAATAGTTGTCTCAAAAATGAGTTGAATCTGATAATAGCCTCCATATTTCTAGTATAAAGATTCTCAAACGGATGTGTGGGTATCGGCCAATGAGCCAGTTTAATAAAAGGTTTTTCCAACACGTATGTGTTAGTATTTGTTGTTGTTGTTGTAGCGGCTGAATTGTTTACCGTTCCTATGATATTCGGGTCTACGTAACCGGAATCAGATTTTTATCCGGCCAAGTACTGTCAACTCGGTATAATTCTGCCGATACAACCACAACAACAATAATTTCACCGGCATTGATCCTTTCAAGTTACAAGAGTATAAAATCTTCGGTTGCACCCGAACTTAATTCTTACTTGTTAAATATTTTTACATGAACTGAAATTCCTGTGCTTTACCCAACGAAATATCTTTAATTTAATTCAATAGTTTGCCATTAATCCTTTTGGCTGTTGAATACCCGAAGCTAATTAACAACTTACAGAAATTCTCAATCTAAATCATTAGCTGATATAAACGATTTTGATGCGAACTAGTTGGTTTGGCAAATTGCAATACATACACTCATATGTGTATGTTGTATGTATGTAGATACATATGTATGTATTTAAGTATCTTTAAGCTAGCGTTTATTGATCATATTCTCTTGCCATACTCTCGTTGCTATTCAAAAATTACGACAAACGAATAAAACAGGTATATTCCAATCTCCGGCTTGATGACTAAGTCACTGGTAGCCGGTATACAATATGAATACCAATGTGTTACTCTTACACATATGCAAACAATGAATGTACATTTATTTTTATTTATGCTCGACTTATATACATATGATATAAAGTAACTACGTATACCCCATATGTAATTCCGTCTTCGAAAATTCTCAGTTTTTCTTTCAACGACTGCGCATATTTCAGTTATTGATCTACTATAAATCTCAGACCGCTCCCTGGCGAATATTTCTTTAATCACAGAACTTCAGTTATAATTAAATAAACGCAGGTTTTCATAGATATGTAGACATGTCTGTGTACATAAGTTAGTTGTGGGCGAAAGTAAAAAACTATCTCTCCGAACTTTCTCGCTTCTTCTCTACAATTCCACAGCAACCTCTTCTCCATTAATTCCACAGCAACTTTATTCACGAGTTGGACGAAAGAGTACACACTGTATCTTAATATAATAGTCGACGTTAAAATAACGACTGTCAGTGGCCCTAATATTCTGGATACTGTGGCAGGTTCAACCCTTACTTATACAGAATATCCGCGCATACCAAATATATGTCCACTTTTGCATGCCCAACAAACCTTATTCATCTAACACTCTTCTCCCAATGGTGCGATCCCGTCAAAAAAGCATGTTTCCTGGTCCTACCGTTAAATGGCTTCGTTGACAACTAACTCGAATCTTACACCCAAACAGGGCTAAGTTAACCACTACAACAACAACAGGGACGATCAAAATCAAGTCCTTGTGTGACAAAACTTTTTATTTGATATCTTCACCAAATTTACCATGAATATTGTCCAAGCCAAAGCTAAAGCTGCGATATAAACTGGCCGATCAAATTTAAGTTTTTCTTGGAGTCTTTTATATTTATAAAGGGCATTATAGCTTCCGTGCAACAGAACTTAACGTTTTTTCTTGTTTTACGTAATTTTGTATTTCAAATTTTATAAATGGAAAAATGTTCTAAACCAAGGATCGGTTTTAGAGTAATTAATGAATTATTTCACAATTATTTAAATTTTAGAAAAATTAGGGCATTACAGGAAGGGTGCAATCTGCAATTATATGTTTATCCTTACGATGTCTGTGTTTAAATTAAAAAAGTATTTAAATAATAAATCTGTTGTATTTATTAATTTTTACAAATAATAATGGAGGTACATTTATTTTAATTAGCCGTATAAATTAAACTCTTTATTTTAGGAAACATTTTATTAAAAAATTTAAATAATTCGTACATTAACGTCGGGAATATATTACTTGGGCTGGTTGTTCCTGGATGGACTATTTGAATCATTATCATTTGGAATTTGATTTTCTTTGCCATTGTTCATTCTACTAATAAAATTCTTTTCGATAAGATTACTCCGCATTGAATTAGTTCTGCGTATATTGCTTGCGTTCTTAGGAGGGGTATTTAGAAATACACCTTCGAATATTGTTTCGAGGCTATTACAGCGGCTTAGGCTTTCTCTTCTTTCTTCATTATCAGCTGGTGGACTTATCAATGCGTTGATTTCGTGGAGAGCAACAAAATCCGCATTTTGGCATGCAATAGGCGTAGAATCATCATCTACCTGCGGCAGTCGCGTTGGTGTTTGTAAATCTTCTGCGTTGGTATCTATAGGTGAAGGAGTACGGCCAAGCGGTGATATAAGCCTGATTTCAAATGCTGGAAGCTCATCATCGATTAGAAGTGCATTTAAATCTCGCTCAATTGATAACGAAAATGACAGATCACCTTCACTTGACAATGAGGATTGAGAACACTGAAGGCGGGAAGTATTTATATCGGATGAAGATAACTCCATGCTTTTATCATTTGACCTTGCATCACTTTCCGTGAGAGATTTTCTTATCATTTCAACTTTTACTTCTGTAAATATTTATAAAGTGATTTATCAGCAGATCTCCACAGGATTAAAAAAACAAATACTTTGAAATTGAAATGTAGAACTGTCAAATATAACTCTTTCGTTGTCACTGTATGATTACAGTGTTGCCATACCCACTGAATTCAAGTCTCTTTGAGTTAAGTACTCGTTCATATGTAAGTACATTGGTTGCGGCAATTCTCACTTTGATAGCGAACTGCCGACTAGAAAAGACTAAAGAAAAAATTGCTCATGCCCGCTGTGTTACAGTCCTTTTATTATTTTGAAATTATTTCAAAGGAATTTTTGGAATGTAATAAGCAAACATGAGGAATAAGGATACAAAATTAGCATATGAAGAATACCGCATATATGAAGTGTACAGAATTTTGATAAAAGTATGTGAACAGGAATGGCAAAAACTTGCCCGTTTAGATATCAATTGTTCCATTTAAGTCGTGGAGCCTGTTGATGATGAAGTTAAAACAGCTGATCACATAGTGGAGAATTTGAAATTATTCATTAAATGATATCCAAATGTAAATATATCATTATATTACATTATTAACTTCGTGCAACATTTTCAAAAATTTTAAACTGCATCCATGACGGCGATATCTTGAAACTATTATTGGTTAAGGCTGTCAATTTAAATAAATTTTGACCAGTAGTTTGTGTTGAAAGCAAGTTCTTGATCGTTTAACTGCAGTGTTAAGGTGACAATTTCCTTCTAACATGGCGCTACCGGTAATTCCCATATTTGACATAAGCATTCACACAGTAAACACTGTACATTGTAAAATTTTAAAGTTTATGTGCTTTGTTTACAGTGCTTAGCACTAATAATGAAAATAATAATATTGAAAAAGGAGGAAAAAACTTACATTTTCCAAATTTCTTTTGAAATCTGACGGGAAAATACTTCGTTTTGTATTTGCAGCATATGCCATATAGGGGTATTAACGGCCATACCAAGTGTGAAATAAAAAAAACAATTGATTTATTCATATTCCCTTTAAATAAAACCAACTAAGGGCGATTTTTTCAATGTCTGGTTACTATTACCCTTAACCGCTAGCTTTACTTGACATAACCGTTTTCACCAAGTTGTGGTTAACTTACCTACAGATAGTTTGATTTGATTATTGTGAATGCTTGGAGGAACGATTTGACATAAATTGCATTGTGAACACACAAAAGTGTTGATTCGTCACGAGCCATGTCTGTATGTGCATGTTCAGACGAGGACTATTTTTGCCCCGCAAAACAGCCGTAAAAGTAAAAAGGGACGAAAATTTTGAGAACAATTTATATAATATTTTTAATTTAAATTCCCAAAAATCCCTGTTATATCAGATTTGTCTCTTAATCTGAACATAAGCAATTACTTCACTCGTCATATCACCCTCAGGTAAGGTGTCTACAAATCGGTAATTAATATAAAATCATATTGAAACATGGAAGGTAATGTAAACTCCTTTGAAAAGAAAATAACAGGCATTTCTTCAATCCTTTGTGAGAAAACCTTTTATACATACATCCTCATTTTAAAGTTTTATATGTATCAACGAAACTACCCTTCATTAAGCTCCTCTCTATAAAAGTGTGTGGTATTACCACCGAGTGCCATTTAACCACTAAATCGACCTTGGCTTCAGAGCACTTGTGACCCGCGTTCAAACGTTCAAACCAAAATGAATAGGCAATGTCGTTCACGGCACCAAAGTCAACACACAAAAGAATGCCCTAAATAAGGCAGTTAACAGCATACCACACAAAGTAATTTAACTGGAAAAGTACAAAGAAAATAAAAAACATAAAATTGCTAAGCGGACAGTGCGCTAGACCATGAAACGGGCGGTTGAAGAGCCGAGCCGAGCAGCCGCACTGAGAAGAACCAACAAAGAGCAAACCAAATGTAAGTAAACCAAAAAAATTATCACAAACAGCTTTCTAAATTTTTAAGTAGGTGTATCGATGGATAATGCGAGATTGTTGCTGTATCTGTTGTGGTTGCTGGCGGTGACTGCTCTTGAAAGGTGAAACCAGAGCAACGAGACGCGCTGTGCTTGTAATTAAGCAGACAGTGCTTGAGTGTAAGTGCGGGGCTCAGTTTTCAATTGAATCACAGCTTTCCAGCCGCAAAGCAGAGCAAGAGTTTGGCGCTGTGGCTTTCCGTTTGCGGATATAAAGCGCACGAACTGATCGGCTGCTACTCTTAAGGGCAAAAGTTATACAATACGCGAAAGGTTTCAGACTCCTCACACATACTTTATGTATGGATCAACTTGCTAGCGCTGCAAAAGGGCGCACTGTTGACAGAAGCAGCAATTGAAATACCTTCTAGTGTTGCGTACAATGTTTCTCCGTGTCTGCGATGCTTCTCATTCGCATTCTGGTGTCCACATTTGGCGTCTGGTGACTTAATGTGAAAGGCAAAAAATGTCAGCCAACTTATGAACTGTGAAAAATTCGCACATAAATAGCGAAAAGTTGAGTGAAAAGAAGAGAAGTTCAAGCGAAAACTTACAAAAAACAATATATTATACAAATACAATAAAGTTGGAGCAAAGAATTTTACATATACTATAAGTTAGATGTTAGATGTTAGAGATGGCGAGTTTTACGCCATAAAATTGAGCAGGACTAAAACAAAAAAGAGCAAATTACATACTCACATAAAAGGATATTTTATATGTATATCCAAATAGGACGAGATGAAGTCGATTTTTACTAAGCAATATTAAATCATACTATATATCAATAATCTTTGTATGCTTAGGGACAGAATAAAGAAGAATAGGATGCCCAGGAACAAGGTGAACCAAACTCTATGACCAACAAATCTTTTCCTTCTATTAGCAAGTTCTTTCTGGATATTCTTCTTAGATAGTGCTTCGAGCCAATATTAACAATGTATTATATTTATAAGAAAGCAAGACAGTAAGCGACAAGGCGACTTCCTAAGGCGCGACTTCGTCAATCTGCTGCTGTAACAAATAATTCAAGCTGCAGAACTTAATCGAGCAGGTACAATCTTCTATAAGAGTGTTCAGCTGCTGACGTACACCGATGTTTTTGATATCATTGGTCTTAACATCCGCGCCGTTAGTTCTGTTTTCTAGAGACTGGATGAGGTAACGAAGGTAATGGGTCTGGCAGTGAATGAGGGAAAGAGGAAACATCTCCTGTCTTGTCTCCGAACAAAACTCTCGTCGCACTCACGTCTTGGCTAACACGTCACTGCTGACAGTCATATCTTCGAAGTTATAGATAATTTCGTTTATTATGGAACCAGCATTAACATCAAAAACAACGTCAGTCTCGAAATCAAATGCCGTATAACTCTTGCCAACAGGTGCTATTTCGTACAAGTCACTGATCATCCCCAACCTGTTATGCGAGTTGACCGCGGCGAATATCGCTTTTAATGGAACGGAGATTTGCACGAGATATAAGACGACATGATATAGTTCAGCGAATTAAAAGACCGCGGCTACAGTGGCTAGGTCATGTCGTCCTAATGGACGAAAGTACTCTAGCTCTGAAAGTATTCGACGCAGTAGCCTCCGGGGGAAGGAAGTCCTCCATCGCATTGAAGAAGGACCTGGCTTCGCTTGGAAACTCCAATTCGTGCCCCATTGCGAAAAGAAGAAACAACTGGTGCGCTGTTGTTAACTCGGCTATCTGCGCCTTGACCTCACAATTGCCTAAATCGAGTGACAAACACATCTGCCAATTGATTTGTTCGAATATAAAGATGTATTGAATGGAAATGGAATTAAAAAGTTTTATTTGTCGACAGTTTAAGAAATTTGATTTTTTAAGAAATTTGAGTCACTTTAAAATATTCGTACTGCTTGTATTTTATTCAACGCTGTCCTAGTGGGTATGTTTTAAGATTCGTATCTAACCTTACAACAGCACTTTTCAGCACTTACAATTTTAACGACAGATTCTGAGCGCCAATAAAACGCTTAGCATGAGACAATAGCAATTGTTGTTAGCCGAATCGATTTAAATATATTGGCAGTGGCAAGCAGCTAAATTTTTTACGAGTACGCGGGGTTGGAGGAGCAGCGGTTTGGTCAGCAGACAAGCCAGCTGAATCTACTGGTAATTGCTCATTACTTACGTGCAATTGTTGTTGTGTTGCAGTCATTAAACGATGGATGGTCTTTCAAATGGATGAGTGTTGTCGTTTTTGTGGGTGCTGTTGTTGTTGGTGTTTTGGCCACGGTGAGCAGGCTCTAAAGCGATAAAGCGCTTGTTACCACCATTACAGATGCTGTTATCGCCGATTCTAACTGTTGTTCGCAATTGTTGTTGATGTTGTTGTTATTGCTCTCCTTTTCTTTTGCTTAGCATTACTTAGTTGCTTGCACTTAGTTTTTGTCTTTGAGCCACTGGCTATATGTAACGACCTGTGCGTGGCAGAATGGCTATAACTAACGGTGCTTTTTTGATAATTCTGCTGCTCTTGGCCTTTTACTTTTTTAATCTTTGTTTCTCTTTTTTGTTGTACTGTTCACTTTTCTCATTAAAACTACCGTTAAAGCACTTATTATTGGCCCGATGTAAATATTTACATTATATTCCTGGCGTTGGTTGCGATAAGTGCCGTTGGTAGCTGGCCGTGGCGTCTACAAGTGCATTCAAACACTGCAATGGCTGAGAATGCGCACACAAACACTTTCAATAGACGACACAAAAAATCCATATACATACATACGTGTAATATATATGAATCTATACGTGTGTATTTTATGGCTTGTGCAAGTATGTGTGCTGGAACGCTTTAATGCACAGTTATTTTCACAACTTTCTCGCTCTTCGAGGTTTTCACTTTATTTGTCACTTTATTTTTCACTCCGAATTTTCATCAGAATTTTTATGTTTTTAGCAAAGGCAGCGCTTTAATGGAACAAATTTAATAACTGCCCGACATGTGCTTTGAAATATTAAATGCCTCAACTCCCAAGCGCAGAATAAGCAACGTCGGGTAATAGAAGCAGTGTTAAGCCAAGTTAAGTACAAAGGCGACCGCTCAGCTCAGTTCACGACGTACGAATGTATGACGAGCGCCTGGCTGCTTGGCTAGAAGTTTGCGCCAGCAGTCAACACCAATACGCGCTTAGATTGGTAAGCCGATGTGGCTGATGTATGCACATGAGAGAACCGGCCAAGGCGAGTTAAGAAAGCAAAACAAATAGCGAGACACAAACTCACAGCTTGAAAACTCGTTTTACCACAAATTAAAACATGAAAAACAAAGAAAAAAATAACATAAAGTATCGAAGACAACTAGTTGGTGTGGAAGCAAAATATGAGCGCGAAGCAGCAGAAGCTGAAAGCGAGACACTGAAATCATACAATATATTGTATTTATTGTAGTGTCCGCATGTGATATTGCCTACTGTTATGTGTAAGATTTTGAAATTTTCAGATCAGATTGGTCTAACATTCAGGAAAGCTTTAGCTAAATACTTGGTGAAGGGCAGTAAAATAAAAGAAAAAAAATATACGAAAATTCAGTCATTGATTTATCGCAGTTCTATTTTGGATTTTGTGGAGCGTTTGAGCACTGAGGCTATTCTTATATCTAAAGTTAAAGGAAATTTTTATTTTAATTTTAGAATTGTGGTTGAAACAGAACTCATTGTACGAGATATGTTAGCCATGTTTCAGCACTACCAAAACTAACCATTCTTCTACCAGAGAAAAGCCCTTAATTTAGCGCATTTATATAAGTTAGAACTTGGCAATAAAAACTTTGTGCTGCCAGCTTTCGCGACGAAGCTTTATACCTCCGTTAATTGTTTTTAAGCAAAATGTGGGTATGTGTGTAGGTATATTGGCCATATTCGTATGTTAAGCCAACGAAAGTTCATATGTATTCAGTGAGGTGCCCATCCACACTTACGCTGCACATACATAAATACAGGGGTTGTGCGGAAAGCAATAGCACTTGGTCGATTTAAAAAATTTGCTGATTCAATGAAATTACAATGACAGCGCTGCATCGACGCAGAAGGAAGATTTCCAAGAATTGAAGGCGTTACGGAAACCATTCTCCGGAATAGCCCTGAGAGCCGAGGTGCTTGGATCGCCTCTGTAGTCTCAAAATGTTTGCCTTTCATCCGCCTTTTAAGGCAAGGAAACAAAAAAGTCCGGGGGGCACATCTGGGCTGTAGGGCGGCTGCGGTAGCGTTGGTATATCAATCTTGGTTAGTTACACAAGAAAGGCGGTGTGAGCCGTGGTGTTGCCGTGGTTCAACTTCCAATCGGCTGCGATGTCTTGTCGGACCCGATTGACCCGTCGTTTGAGTCTCTTGCGAACTTCCACGTAAAACTTGGCGTTGACGGTTTGTCCAGGAGGAACAAATTTATGGTGGACGATGCCTTTGCCTCAAAAAAGGCAATTAGCATCGTTTTCACTTTGGATTTGTTCATTTTTTCGGTCTTCATCAGTGACCTCTTCTCGGCTTTCCAAAAAGATCTGGTGACACCCAAACACACCACTTCTAGCTAAAGCAACATCTGGGCAAGTCTGCTTGATCATATCAAACGTCTCTGTTGCAGATTTACCGTCGCGCGAAAATGCTTGTCCTGACTCGAAAGGGCTCGGAAAAAACTGACCAGCCGCTCGTTTGTTAGCTAGGATCACCCTGTATCGAATCCAGCCGGTGCTCGCACGCTCCGAAGTATAGTCGCGGCGGAACAAAATCAGTTCTCTTACTTTCCGGACAAACCCTGTATATAAAAACACACATATACATACATATGTACATATGTATGCATTTGAGCATATTCTTTGTAGCAGTTTGGCAGGGAAGTGAAACGGGTGATTTGCAATGACGCCAACAAAAATTCCTTCAAGCATTTGCTACTTGTGGCTTTCGTTTGGCATTGCATTCATTACCGCCGTTAACTCGCTTTCATGCTCAGCTTGCGTACGCTCGTAGGCAAGCGTGTGTGCAGCAGAATTTAAGCATTTGCTAAGTCGTTGTTAGATGTAAATTAAACCGCAATTCTGTCGGTTTCACATAACTTTGTTGCCTGGTCTACCGGTCGGCTGCCGCGCCGTACGCACACTCACACGCTATGACTATATATGTACTTATGTATGTGTATGTGTGCGTTGTTTCAACTCTCTTCCGCTCTTGGCTACTGCCACTGTGCTCTTCTGCTAACTCAGTTAGTTGTGCCATAGTTGCAAGCTATAAACGGCGGCATGAGCAGAGTTGCCAACGTCGCAAAATGAAAACTTACCGCTAAGTTTGAAAATGTGTTTTTTGCTTGCTGTTATTTGTGATTGAATGAGACAACAAACGCATTTTACTAAAATATAAAGATCCTAGCAATTTGCCTCCTGCTGCGCTACGAAACCGACAACAAATTGTTTACTTGCTTGTGATGTCTTCTCCCGTTGGCTTCGACGAGACAAGTGGTGAATGCAATTGTTCGCTGAAGCCCATTGAGAGCATGATTGGAACAAATAACGGCATAAATTGTGCGATATAAAAATAAATTTCAATCATGTTCGGAATACAAAAGAATTTCTGTTTTGCATGCAAATATTGAGAATTAATTTTTATCAATAAACTACTGATTTAATAGCTTTGTAGTATTCATTAAGCTATTACAAATACAATGTTGTCTTGCACTAAAAGTTCCATTAAGGGACAATACTAATATTTCTTCAATGTGGACATAACACAATTCAAAAGGGGTAAGGAAAGGAGGAAAGCTTATAATCGCAATCAACAGAGAAATTAAGATTTAAAATAAGCTGCGGATTATGGCTTGAGCTTGAAGGAGGCAGGGTGTTGGTGCGATATGTAATATGAATAAGCTCTTTACTTTACTCCAGGGTTAAGCTACAGTAAATTTTATTAGTTTGAAGACATATTAAGCAACAGTAAGTCCCGTTGGTTTGAAGACTAACACTTCTTCTGGAAATCATAATTTGAAAAAAGACAACGATAAAGATCTGGCCCAAATATGGTAAAGCAAGAAAAGAGAACCTGCTAAATAGGCTTAAGTAATATTATTGAAATTCAAAGCAAAAACTGAAAATGGAGAAAAGGTGGATTTGATCTACTCCAACTGTTGTCGGTGTTAAGAACTCACGGAGAAAATGGTACTGTTTAATTTGAAGCAAATATATTGTTTACTAGATATGCAAATATAACCGAGTTGACAATAACGCGCCAGTAGCTTCTTCTTTAAGCGGTTGGTACCACGTGCAGCTAAGTCCCTTTCCATCTGATCTTTCAAACGCCGCTGGGCACTGCTGCGAATACAAATAATTGAATACAAAGATTGTGTGCTCTCCACGATCAGGACAACACGACCTAGCTAGCGTACTCATATTCTCTTGATATGCTGAAGTATATGAATGTCGCCGTATATCTCGAACAGCTCATCTTTTCTCTCGAAAAGAAATGAAGGGGCGTATAGACTTTGGTCTTTATTTGTCGAGAAAGGACTTTACTCTTCAATTGCCTACTCAGTCTAAAGCAGTACCTGTTGGGAAAAGTTATTTTGCGTTGGATTTCAAGGCTGACGTTGTTTGTGGTGTTAATGCTGCTTCCAAAATTAACGAAATTATCTACGACTTCAAAGTTGTGATTGGTAGTTGGTTTGATAACAATAGATATTTCGTCTTGGCTCTACGAGTATATTCAGCTCTGATTGCAGAAGTCTTATGTTGAGGGGTCTGAAACCTCGCCAGTATCGAACGGTTTGGAGAGATGTTTTCGATCACAAGAGAGCTCCTGAAGTTGCTTAACAGAATACACAAATTATTTAGATGTATTCATGAAAAATTAGCAATCTTAGCCGAAATTGTAGCTTTGATGCCAACTGTATTACTTGGATTTCGAACTAAATGGAATAAGTTTCGCATAGGCCTGAGTCACTGCGCTATGGAGATAATAAATTTATATCTTTCATGTCAATAAATAAAATGTTCATATATAAATAACAAATTTTAGTTAAGGCTGCAGTGGGAGCAGCTATTTATACGTGACCCTGCTCTGATGCGCCGAGTATAGTTGAATTGAAAGCTTATGCATGTGATGTAGGAAAAAAAGTTAAGGGAGCCTGCGTTGGAAATAGTTTGAAAGAGTGTACACAAGCGAGTAGCTGTAAATAGTTTTGTGTGGAGGGTCCTGCGAGTGCCAAAGGTCAATAGCGAGCCAAGGATTTGCTGCGGATTAAACGACAGTAGGCGTCGGCGTGATATTACATAGCGTATGAAAGTGCGGCTACCTTTAGAGGTATGATACCTGGTTAGCAGAATAGTTGTATTTCTTCTTTATTTGATTTGCACAGTGAGGCAGTTACGCGGAGAAATATTTAGAAATGTAATGGATTATAACCTTTAATGTCAGATAAATATTTATACACTGAACAGGGTAGAGCTTGTAACACCCAGAAGGACCTTATAAAGAATATATCAGTCTGTTTAGTCATGTTCGTCTGTCCATATATATATACGAATTAGTCCATCAAATTTTCAGATATCGATCTAAAATTTTGAACACGTATTTATATATTCAAAAAGTTGCAAATCGGTCAGAATTGTCAACATCGGACAACTATCAAATTTAGCCGCCTTAGAACCTGTTGGATCAAAATTACGTCCTTGTGTGTAAAATGTTTCATTAGACTAGAAATCTTCACGGAAATTGGCTTGCATTATTGTCGCAGCCATTGCAACAATCACCGAACATATTGTTGAAATCAGTCCACTATAGGATATGCATAGCTGCCATACAATTGGATTTATCGAAACCGAGATACAGATCTTCATAAAAGAAGATCTTAGATTAAGCAACCTTAATTCGGCTTCAAACAACGTGGCTAGAAAAAACTAGCAACTCCGTTGGATGCAAACCGTTGGTCTGTTACGTGTTCAGCGTTGGTGTCTTGGCAAATTTGTCTGCAATGTAGCTGAATTCATTAAATTTTTTGTATAAGTTCATATAGTGCCCTCGAACTTTTCCGAGTAAGGAAATCGAACTCCATATATAATAGAATTACCTCTCGCTATAGTGCTGTAAACAGAAAATACGGCACGTACGTTCCCACTTGCAACATAACTCAATTGAAACGTATTCCTTCTTATCCTTCTAAAATATTTGAGCCATTTGCAGCGCTATATCACACGATTGCTCCTTGCATATTAAATGCGCAGCACAACAAAAGCGACAATAGCGACGGTGACATCGAACGAGGTCATTAGTTGAACCTACGTAAACAAGTAGAAGTGTCTTAGTAGAAAGGCGTCCCTCTACTCCACACTAAGCGCATTGCTTCGAGACCTTCGAACAGAGCGAGTGCTGAAAGGAATGTCAGCCGTTGGCATTGCGCGTGGTTAGACATACACACTTATATATACATACACATATACATATGTATGTATATACAGTTTGTGGGCGCCTGGTTTCACTTCACTTATGCTCTTATTTCCACTTTACTGTCTTTACTTTTGGATCGTTACTTTGCGCCGCAACGCTATGTGTTACACGCTGCTTCTATTTCCATGCAGTTCTGGTCTTATTTTGTTTTGTTTGCACTCACGCTCGTATTTTTATTGACGCACTCACATTCGCAGGCACTGCTGCGTGCCACCGTTCGATCAGGAAGCTTTACATTAAGTATACGCCACGCCAGTCCGTGAAGTGACAAAATTTGCACACACACACACGCACATACATACATGTGGATCTTATCTATTTGCTTTGGTTTTAGCAGCGTTATCGATTGTTATTGTTGCTGTTGTTGCTGCGGTTCTTTCTGTTGTCATATCTGCTTACTTGTTGTTATCGCCAGCGTTTCGCTATTTTATTCGAATCTATGCACATTAGTCGTCTTCATACTCAAACACTCGCTGACACTCACACATATGCATGCATGTATGTATGTATGTGATCGCTTTTATTGCGCTTTTGGTTGTGTTTGTGTGTTTGTTATTTTTGCGATTAGTTTAATGCTTTCACATTTGGTGTTAAGCTTCTTTTTGTTGTCATAGTTGCCATTAGTGCCATTCGGTGCTTTGTACACTCTCATAAAAATTTTCAGTAAATAAATAAAATAGATATGCATATGCATGTATGTATGTGTGCCTATACATGTAAATAATATAGATATGTTGGCTCATCTATGTATGTGTGTAAGTCCAAGTATTGCGTATAAATGAGCAGAAGTCATTTGAAGTAATAATAACGTACTTTTAATGATAATCGTGGGCAGAGCCGCCCTTCACAATTTATTTGCCATCAAAATTCGCGCTAAATTTCAATTGACATATCTTTAGCAGATTATGTATATATTGTAAAATACTAAATATTGAAATAAATCATGAAAAATCCTAATAAAACGTTTGAGTTGAGTTTCAGCATCAATTCAATCCACTAAACAATCATATTTGGTTGAGCCCACTGTGCCGCACACTGTTGTACGCTCACTTAGTAGTTAGTCAGTCCGCTCACACGCTGATAATTCGAAAATCATTTACAAATAAGCAGATAGATGAATGGATGATGCACATTCCCTGCATACATATCTACACTGGTTGTGTAAGTGTGTTTGTGCACTTAGCGGAGCGGTTCACGGCTTAGCACAGTCCCCACAAGCATGTACATATATTCCAATCGTCGTGCAAACCACACGCGCAAACAGCGCCATACACAACCAGCACATTTGCATACACACATAACTACATACATCTGATAATATTCCAAAATCCATCGTATTTGGTGCGCGTATATTCGCTGCGTAAAACTTTGCGTAATTTACATTTGGAAGACTGCGTGTGGCGCGGCGCAGCTTATATCAGCGTGGCGCTAGTGGTGATTTCAACTTAGACGCAGCAAACGCAGTTTATTGACTGTTTTATTTATTAATATTAAATTAGTTTGCGCTATTTTATTATTCAGTGCTATCAGGGGTCAGACCTTTTGAAGCTGCTGACGGCATGGTAATCCATCAATAATGGGTCGAGGTGCGTAAAGTAAGCGAATACTTTTGAATATATTCCTACATTGAACTGCTATTAGACTCCATTTACCCAAAAAGGTGCAATAGGTTTCATGCTCTTAACCGAGCTTACTATAAAGTATTGCATTAATTTTACATTGGAGCATTAACATTAGCATGGCAATTTATCCTTGAAAGCGCAAATGTATAAAAACCTTCAGTTGATATCAACAGTTCTCGGAAGCGTTGTTCCCAAAGGACCATATGTAGTGCCGCCCTCTTACTGTCTAAACATTTTCTATCTTCCCAAAGGCAAGTATGGCGCTTTAACTCACTAATCCGCTATAACGGTTTATGTTTATAAATTTTCATTCGCAAGCATATGCATATTCACATGAACTTATTTGCATACAAAATAAAGTTTATATGTAATTAAGCAGAATACTGGCTGGCAGACTTTATTCACTTGTAGAGCGTGTAGAGTCACAAGTGTGTGTTCCAGTCACGCGATTGTATTTGCCCAGCTCTGCAAATTCGTGCATATATGTGGATATAGAATATATGGACCTTGCAGGAAATTTTTGTGGTCACTGTGGCATTAGCCTTAGCTACAAATTCAACAAAGGCAAGACAAAGTTTAATATCCGGTTGCATCGCAACTTTACAAATAAAAAAAAGTTTTACGACAAACAAGCAGCTTGGAGAGAAAACGAAGGGGGCAAAATTTCAGATCGACTTAGCTCGTCACGCTGATCTTATATATTGCTCCAAGTAGAGTTACTTTTTTCAAAGGCAGACACTTTTTTGACAGATAAAGCATGAGTTATGTGAAGCTGTCCTGTCATTTGTCAGAAAAATATAACCATAGCTGACAGTGTACATGAAGACTGGGAGCCGTTCGAAGCAACTCGGACTGACTTATGGGACGACTTGGCGCATTAGACGTCGAGATTTCAAATCGCTTCACTCTATGAGCTCTTAAAAGTTCCAAGAAGATCCGACATTTTCGCACCAAATTTTGTTTAGCGATGAGGCCCATTTTTGGCTCAATGGGTATTTCAACAAGCGAAATTGCCGCAATTGGGAGAAAGAGTAACCAGAAGAGATTCGAGAGCTGCCATTTCATCCGGAAAAAACAACGGCTTTGTGTTTTTTTGTGTGCCAGTGAAATCATCGGTCCATATTTCTTCAAACGAAATGCCATGATAACTGATTATTTGATGCCTAAAATTGGAGCTCTGTGAGCAGATAAATGCACGTGTTGGGTCTATCGATTGGCCACGAAGATCGTGTGATATCACACCGTTAGTCTTTTTCCCGGGGGAATATGTAAAGTCTAAATTCCATGCATTCAATCCCGTTTCAATTCGGGCTTTGGAGCAAAACATCATGCGTGTCATTCACCAGTTACCAGTTGAAATGCTCGAACGAATCATCGTAAATTGGACTCAACGAATGGACCATCTGAGCCGTGGCCGCGACCTACATTTGAAAGATATAATCTTCGAACGATAAATTACAAAGAACGTTCTTTCGAATGAAAATAAACCTCAAAATGTATCACCCCTTATGTATACTTTATAGAATCACTGATGTTTCTTGCTGGGTGCTACAAATTCCGTGGCAAACTTAATGTACCCTCTTCAGGGAATAAAACACAATTCATCAGAAATCAGTTTTCAAAAGTATTGGTAGTTTTCAATTAAAATCTATATGAAAATGAAATAAATATGCTTTAGAACTTTTCGTAAAATATAAACATGTGTATGTGTATATGCCATAAACTCCTTTAAAAAATAATATTACGATTATTGGCGATTTCGAAACTTTTTGGTTAGATGAAGATTGGGAAATTAGGCCTCTTACTGTTGGGTCGTGGCCAACGAAGCATTTAGCCGCTTCTGTTTATTTGTTTAGCTAAATTTTATTAGTTTGATTGTTTTGGTCTTGGTTTTTTACTTGTTTCCCAAAAACAGAATATTTAATTCATTTAATCCATTATTCGTAGGAAGTGTTGGTGATTAAATAGTAAATAAACGGCACATCGCGTCAAATATTTACTGTAAAGTTTCAGAAATGTAAGCAATTAAGTGTGTGTGTGTGTTTATGTATACATCTGTATATGTATACATATGTGTGTGGCTAAGAATGTGCACACAAAAGGTGAAAATGAATTCACTTCATTGCGCCAAGTCGTTAGGTAATTCTCCAGCGCAAACATCTCTAAGATGCCTCTGCCAAGACACTTGGCTTCGCCAGCTGCGCATTATTGTAAATAACTCACTAATTTGTTGTACATTAACACGCTACATTATATTTTTTTTGTTGGCACAACACTTTTTCGCTGCGACGAGCATTAATTAATATAATTTACTTGTCTAATTGAAGTTTGCTTTAATTACAGTGAACGCATACAGCCCGATAGTGGGGCTTATCAGATGCGGTACACACGCGGTGAGGAAAACACATCAATAGTAAATAAAATTTAATAAATAGCACACGTTTTAGAAGTCACTGTTTCAAGCTCACTTTGCTATTTTCGCCAAATTCGTCTCGGCTTGCACACGTTCGCACGTTTATTCGTTCGCCGGAATACTAAATTCACGATTTCGATTCAATCTCAAGTCCAAATTCACTTCGACTTCGCTATAGCAGACACACACGTACACACATAAGAATATTAGAAACGTTTGTATGTATTTCCGTGTGCTTGCAGAACGCGCTAGCCGCCAACCCAGCTGGCTGGCTCAACAGCACTTCGCCGTCTCAAAACGCTAAGCGCAGAGAGACCGCACAAAGTGGCAGAACGTACGCGCACTACCCCTCCGCTCTCTTCGCCACCCCGTGGGTCCGATTTGTGAACAGCAACAACTTATTTGATCTGGCAGGAATACTGCCAACAAAAGCAATTGCAGACCACAATTGTTGGCGCTTGGCACTTGAATGGCAGGCTCATACGCTCCATCAGCTCTCATTTGCTCATTTACGCAAAGTGTGCAGACATACCCGCCACCATTCAACGCGGAACAATGCTGGGGATGCATGACGCTCAGTAAAGCTCATTTCGAACACTCCTACAAATTCGTTCTTTCTCGTTCAACCCTGCTCACAACCCCGTCCGTGTCAGGCGCTTCGTTCTTCATATAAACCCGCTCGTTTCCTTGCCGCTTGCGCACTTTACCTTCACTTCAATTATGTGTGCCACCGGCGGCGCTACTGACGTCGTCGCCACCACTTGCTGATTCTAATCATATGCACCAGTCTGCCAGCTTAATTAGCGGCCTGTTACCTGTTTGTTTATTCTCTCTGCATTCTCATTTATGATGAGTGCGGAGCTTTTGCCCATTTCGTTGTTGTGTGTTTGTTTATTTTGAATGCTGTGAGAGCATTTCCATATTTTCCCTGCCATTTGCATGAAAATCAAAACAAAAAACATTTTTCTCTTCGTATTTGAAAACTTTAATATTTCTTTGTAAAACATTTGCCTAGGAGCTATTCTAGAATTTTAGTTTTGGCAGCAGTAAGCCGTTTTATGTGGTCACCAATTGTAGCTGTGTTCCTAATAATTTGGTCAAATCTGTCAAAAGCTTAAACGTAGAGCTTTCAGCAGTACCAATGCCGGATTACGGGTAGCTGCCTTGAGTAACTCTCTGAAGGGATACCGTTCAAGTTTGTGAATGAAATATTAAGGATATGTGTTGCCAACTACGTGGGTAATTTTAAAGTTAGACAATCTTCTTAATAATGATGACTGTTTTCTAAAGCATTATATATCTTTATATATAAGAGAAAGTTTTGTTAGTTACACCATTTAGCTTAGAAACAGGGTAAGGACATAGGGTATCTTTTATCTCTTTATGTCAAAATTAAATACATCTCATAAATACAAAAATAATATTTTATGTCATAAGCATTTTTTTTGTAAACTAACACAAGGTGCTTCACAAAAATGTTATATCTCATTAATATAGTTATAATCCAACGAATAGAAATCATATAGATGGTAATAGTAGTATTATCTATGTATCAGCCACAGTGAAGCGTGGACGGGTCCTCTGGTAATAAAATAAAATCTACCCAAATCGAATTTCTGTGCTTTGATTTACCGCTGACTGCAAGCTTACATGAAGAAACCGTATAATTTGAAGAAAATTTAATACCATAACTGCTGATACGTAAAAAAGTTTCTTGAGAGCAAAATCCAAGCAGTTCTAGAAGAAATAACATCTCTTATTGTATACACTTTTACACTTTCTCTGAGACTCCCTAATATTCGACATATTTGACTTTACTAACACTGAAGATTAGTTTCGTTTCTTATAAAACAGCAAACGTAAAATATTTTGGTTTTGCCTGGCACCAAACTAAGCTTCTTTGGAAATATTTCATATCTATTTATATATTCTTAAATAAGTTCCTTCGATAAGGGTTAAATATTTAAGATGAACGAAAGCTCAAAAAGCTCAAATCTGCAAATAACATTCTCGTACTTAATTTAAAAAGTTCTGCTCAAAAGCTTTCGAAAACAAATTCCTATCAAACATACAGTGGAATATTTAGGGGAACTTGTGGGTCAAAATTAGTATTCCATAAAAAAAATAAATGATTTTAATTAACTATAAATTGTATATTATTATTATGAAGTTTGAAGGACAAGCAAGTTCAGCAGTTAAATACTTTAATTCCGTTTGCTTGACAGTGAAAGAGGTTTTCCATATTATAATGAGAATCTTAACTTTTCTTTGTTGGAAAAGGGCGGCAAAAGCTCGTCATAACCCATTGAACTTGTACTTGTAAATATGTGTATGGGAGGAAAAAAGCGCGTTAGCATACCTCTTCAGAGCTTTCGGTTATCCACCGGTTTCCGGGGGCACGATATGTTGCTTATTGACATAAACTGACCATTAAGGAAAGGATAGTGGTGGTGGTGGCTGATTCCCTTACATTAAATGCAAGGAAACTTTTAAAAGGAACATGACATAATTTCATGATACCATGAAGGGAAATTGGGGCAATGGTTCTGCTTCACTGGGCAGACGGCCAAAAATCATAAAGCAAAACACATGTAACTCTTTTCATAGAAATGCGACGCTACCATTAAAACTTGAAAACAGATTTAAATTCAGAAATGTTGATGTAAAACATGCTAAGTGCCCACACACATATAAAGCCACACATACACATACTTATAACTCGCATTAGATTACTCGTTTGTATATCCGTATATCCAGTTATGTGTAAGTATGTACATACTATATGCCTAAGTGTGTTCAGAATAAGTGTATTACGCCTCCTTTGGCGTGACTTAAATAACTGTCAGAGTTGCAAAGAGGCAGCAAAGTGCCAAAGACAGCAACAGATTGGTGTTTTCACGTCGATTTTGACACACAAATTGCGAATTAATGGGCGTCCGTGTAATTGGTTACTTAAATCTGTGGGCTTGGAAAATGGGAACGAACGGAAAATGAAAAACAAAATATATAAAAGCGGGTTATTTTAGGCAGGTTTAGTGATGAATCAAATGAGTCTTTGCCGTAGAAGCTTGGGATGTGGTGAAAAGTCTTGTAGAGATTTGAAACTATAGTATCTCATTTCTTCGAAAGTAATAACAATAGGATATACTTACGTATGCCATTCAGCTCATGCGGCTATTTTTATACGTTTTTTTAGCAGTAACGAGCATCTACCACGCTTCGCTGTGCATGAATACTTGACGAGGAAATCTTTTAGAACGTGTTCTTAAATTATCATCAAAGTTTTAACAACTGCTTATTGCATTTCCTTGCAATGGTTAATTTGCAAAAAAAAAAAATTCTTTTATTTGCCTCGATTAAGTATTTATATGATGTGTGGTGGAGTTTAAAACATGTTGGTCTTAATTTAATTTAATTACATTTATTTGTAGATTACGCATTATGCCAAGGCAAAAATATCATTGCACATTCCTTCGATAATATACTTTTGAATAACTACGGGAGGATATAGAAAGCAACTATATATACCGATCGGCTTTGTTCACCGAGTCGTCGCTAAAGTTGATTTCGCTTGGAACGATGAAGCGGATTGTTCAGCTCGCTCGTCGTCTCAAACGCAGCAATTTTGCATGTTTACAAACCCTTTGATCCAGAAATGGGCCTCATCGCTGAACAAAATTTGACTCGAAAACATTGGGTCTTCTTGGAATGTCGTTTGAGAAGGTCGAGCGGCTTCAGTTCTTGCACAAGTTGAATTTGTAGGCTTTCAATTTAACATCTTGACGTAAAATGCTCCAAGTAATTCCATATAACAGTCTGGGTTGCTGCGGACGGCGCCAAATCTACTCTCCATGGTTTTTGTGTACACTTTCCGCTACCGCTGCAGTATTTTCTTCACTACCTGCTGGACGTAGTCTATTCGGTCTAATATTATACAATGCTGGGTAGATCGATTTTGTTAACCTTAAGTTGAGCGAAACGGGTGGATCTCGTTCTTCATAGAACGTGAATTTTCGTAATATGGATGAATGACTTGTAAACGTTGTTCAGGCGTAAGTCTTTCCAATTTGAATGCCAAACAATACTGAATAAAAATATAATGCCAGCTTGACAAGAGTGACGCGTGATCGGTCAAAAAAGGACTATAGAAAAAAATACTTACACTTAAATCACCGCTTTTAAGCTATAGTAGTCCCAACTGAATAATATGCTCATATTGAATATACATATGTAGATAAAAAAAATCAATGTTGATACCTACTTATTTTATATATTCGTGAGCTATAGGTCACTCTTTTTTGTAAATAAATCTAGTCAAAAGTATTTTTTCGGGTAGAAGAATATTGTTAGATTGTCTACACATTTTACGATCTTATTTTACCGAAATTGTTTTTCAGCTAAGAAGTCAAGCTGAAAGCCGAAACCTCTATTTCAACTTTATGATCTACGAACCAGTTACCTGAAATTAATAGTTTTTTGAAGTTCAGGAAATTAAGGAATGAACACACCTATAAAGTATACTTAAAGTACAGTAATTAATTTATATTTTATATTTTAGAAATATTATCTATAATCTTTAGTCTTTTAATGCATGCCAGCGTCACCCAGCGATTTCGCGACACAAAATTGAAAACTCATCAGCAGCTTAATTTCTTTGCTTTTGTTTTCCTTGATGTTTCTTTTTTGGCGCCTCCAGTGCTGGTTTTACGTGGTGACTTTCTTCTGCTGATTCGGCAGCTATTGCCCAAGGTAAAGTTTCGCCCTCAATATCCTTGTCAATAGTTAATTTGGTAACCTTTTCCAATTCCTTGATTGTCTGCATATATAATTTCTTCGCCAAAGCTATATCCCGGCCATGCACCGACGATTGTGCTATCTCGCAATCGCTAAAACAACAAAAACCACACTAAGTTAAAGATTAAAGAAATGTACTTGTTTAGAAGCTAAGACGAAACTGAGTATGTGAGGGCTTCTTGCAGCACACGTTGGAATAATAAAATATCAATTGCACCTGCGCATTTGTATGTAAGAGTAGGAATATGGAGTGAAGCACCGGCTTTCAAATGCAGTAGTTGGCCAATCTCAGCCAAAAACTTAAAGTATACAAAGGTTGTATACTAGCTGGAGTTGTTAAAATGGCCGTCGGCTGCTGTAATTATTTTAATAATTAGGCAAATAGTGTATCCACAGCACTCCTAAAAGTTTTGCTGGCAAAGACAGCCAATAGCATAAAAAGAAACTCAAAATTCGGTGATTTTAGGGCCTTCTGCTGCAGGTGCACGTATCCTGAACTGAAAGTATGTCGTTGTGAAGTGCCGAGTTGGCAAGGGTGTTCGAGTATGCAGGGTAGGTGACTAATACTTACTTGAAATACTCGCCGCTTACGTTCTTGAGCTTCGGATCGGTGGCTAGACGTATGGCGCATTGTGCCCCCTCAAATGGATTCTTCATGAACAGCCACATCCACGGAAAGGTCATCAATTTTACACTAATGGCGGACATTAGTGGCGAACTGAAACGAAACCAGAAGAAACGAAATGAATGAACCAAAAAGAAGCAAAAGTACAAAGAAATGAAAATGGCGAGATTATACGTATGCTTTTTGTAGTTGCTTCACGGATTTTGTTCAAATGTACATTTAAGCATGGCGATATACCTAAGCAGACGCTTGGCACGTGTGAAATTTACTGCCATTCGAAAAGGACAATACACTCTCTCAAACCGCTTTAAAGTTCTTTATGTTATGTGTGTGAGTGTATGCGAATGAGTGAGTACTGCCGCATTAGACTTTGCACTGAACTTTGCCTAATTAAATTCTAGTTTTTGAAGAAAATCAAGTGGAACTAAAGTTATTAGTGTTTATCTTTGAAATTTCCTTCGGGCTTTTCAAAATCACGAATCCCAAACATTCAGCCAACTTTATAGACGTTGTGGAAATAAATCTTTGCACTTAAATTGCCACTAATAAATCAGTTCAAATAATCTAGGAGCCATGTTAAAAGATTGAGGAAAATCGATTCAAAAATTATGTCTCGGAAAAAGACGAATGTTAGTTTAATAAAAATTTGCGCAGCCAAATGATTTTCTAATCTTAATTGGAAGTAAAATTTCCAATTATTTCTAGGATCGTCATGTTATCGGTTAGTTGACCAATGACCGCTAAGTATTTCCTTTGATTTCTTTACTTCACTACATCTAGATAATAATTAAAACACTTGGAAGCCAAACTAATTGCAGCAAAAGTGTCGAAAAACCAACTTAGAAAAGTAAACATTGCAACATAATGTCGAACATATTAATGACTAGTTTGTACTTTTCCAAACGCACGAATAATATGGTAAAAATACTGCGATTGCATAGCCTACTTCTTGCATTTTATGCGTGCACCAGTAAGGAGCTGAAACAAAAAAGGAGAAACCAAACAAACTAGGGCGACGAAAGGGAAACAGCAAAAAGGTGCAACACAAAGGCTATGAATAAATTAACTTGAGAAACATGCGGTCGAGGCTGAAGTGTGGCACAAGCAGATGGATCTGGCCGAGGCAAAAGACGACAGGCCTAAACAGTTACATCAGCTCGAACAATGGGAAAAACAGCAGTGTTAAGCACAACTACTTTAAAATGCAGGGAAAGGAATGGAAATATACTGCAGAGAGACGTGATTAAATTTTAAAATGTGCAGAGTGACCTTTCATCGGCCTACCGAACTCACAAATTCGGGTCTAAGATGGCAACGAAATGATAAATATACATATACGAGAACATTCATGTGTTATTTTAAGATCTAGCATCGTTCTTATTAAAAAATGTGAATAGCTCTCTAGTACTTGTTGTTTTCACAGCTCTTACAGGAGTATAATTTTGACTAAAATTGGAGCCCGAAATTCTACAAAGCTTTTATTTTCAGGAGAACGTCGTGGTAAACTTTAGAAATTGTATGGAGCCATGTTGTATGTTTCAAAATATAAAATATCATTCAAAGATTAATCTTAAAGTAGGCGAGTCGTCAAGAACACATGAACACTATTTTTCTGAGATTTCAGTACGAAAGAATAGGGAAGGATATAGTTTATTATTACAAACAGGCCCTCCCAGATGTTGCTTTAGCAAGAAGTGGTGTGTTTCAGTGGCCAAACGCCTTTTTCTAGGACTGGGAAGAGGTCACTGATGCGATCCGGGGTCGACAAGGCATCGAAGCCGATAGGAAGTTGCACCACGTTAACGTCCCGGCTCACGCAACCTTTCTTGTGAACAGCTACCTAGTCAAGGCAGGCATTCCAACGCTTCCGCAGCCGCCCTACAGCCCAAATGTGGCCGCCCGGAATTTACCTTGCCTGAAAAAGTCGATGAAAGACAAGCATTTTGTGATAACAGAAAGGATCCAAGTAGCATGCACCAAGGCTCTCAAGGCTATTAAGGAAAATACCTTCCGAGACGCCTTCAATGCTTGGAAATTGCGCTACATCGATGAGAAGGATCCTATTTTGAAAGCTTTTGAAGAGTTTAACGATTGGTTCAATACATTTTTTTAAATCGACTCAGTCCTATTAATTTTCAGACAAGCCCAGTATTAACAAAAACCTTTCGCGACATTTTTTTTTTCAAATAGTTGCAATCGAAAAAAAAATCCTTGGTTAAAGTCTTTAAGAATTGTATCTCAAAGACCAGTGTAAAATTTCATGAAGATTGGTGAAGTAGTCCTCGGGAAGTCATACCAACCGACTTCAAAAACACAGTTTCGAGAAAAAAGCACACAATTTCTCAAGGCTGTATCTCCGAAACTATTATTCGTATCAACTAGAAAATTTAAGACAATATTCTAAAGGTGATGCAGAATAATAATAAGACAATAAAAAAGTCGATTTTTTTAAACCCGTAAACCCACCTTAAAACCCTTTTTATAAATACTACCTACAGCAAAACTGAGACCAATTTATTTAATCGAGCAACACTCAAATAAATAATATAAAAATATTCTTCTTATTATTTTTAGTTTTTAAAGTTTACATTTACTGGAGCTGTCTTACAAATTTTTCATTTATAAATTTATTTTCTATCTTGAGGAGTTGATTACATTACCACATATAATTTCCTGTAGCAAAACTAACTCGAACACAGAGAGAAAATCTGCTTTGTCAACATATTGCGTATAAATATTTATAACAATGTAGCAAAAAGTTCTGTAACTCCATGACCTACGGTTAAACACATTTAAATTTACTTTATAGGACAGAAGTGAGTGACAATAGGTAAAGCAAGCTCGGCGCTACGCAAACCACAACCGCACAGCAGAGAAGACAGCAGACAACGCCGTCGCATAAATGTGATGCCACAGAATGCCTCAACATACCGCATATCACATGCCACACGCCACATGCCCCACATCCCTATTACTTGCAACAGCTGCTGTTGTCACTGCTGTTATTGTTGTCATTAGGACATGCCAGCATTGGCTTCAAAACACACACATAGAGACAGTCACAGATGCTTAGGTGCGGCTAGCGGCAGATCTAAGGAGTTTCACTCATCTCCCCCAATCGCACCGAAAGCATTCACTTCGGCACACAGCTGAGCACGACGGCGCGAGGGTTCATCGACATTTCCACCATCCGCAAAATGTATAAATAAATAATTAATACGTTTATCTCTTTTTCATTTGCGCTTTTCCCTGACTGTCATTTCAGCCGCTTTGTCTTGCATTAATACCCGCTCGGCAAACATGCGGCCACACACGAGCGGACGAAACCCTTCGAGCAGCCGAGAGACCTGCTGCTTCCGCTCTTTTGTGACACGCGTTATGTGCTTGTTGTTATTGCTGTTGTTTTTGTTTTTATTTTCATTTTTCTACTAATAATAATCACCATAAAAAGCGCTAAGCTTTACAAATGTCGCCACTTTCCTTTCAATCTTAACCGCCTCACAACCTCGCCCGCGACCCCACTTGCCTGGTTTATATCACTGGCCTATTCATTACACGAGTGTTGCAGCTGTTGGCTTTTTATAATTTCATGTTTGTTGTTGTTATTGTTATTGTTGTTTTTGTGTTTGGTGTTGGGGCTAAGTAAAGTTCACGTAACTCAAGCGTGATGGCAGCTGCTGTCGCTTTATGCGCCAATGCGGTTCTGTATGTGGCTGCCTGCCTCCGCATTACACCCGCTAATAAAATACACTAAGCAAGTAGACGCATCCTGCAACAAGGAGAAAGGCATGCTTTCTAAGTTTGCGAAAACAAAGAGGATAATGAATGGATATATAGTATATATTCTGTGTATGCAGGCACCCAATAAAGATCAGAGGAGAAGTAAGTCAACAAGACTGGGACAAAAGTGATGCGACAGTATGGATTTGAGACTTGAAACACACATCTGCATATACAGTTATGTAAACACAGCAGACTAATGCTCTTCGTTTACTGCATACATAAGTAGTTCCGGCTATGAATATCGTTGAATAGTCTATGTTTAATACGAGAAACCACTTAAGATCTGTGGGATTGTGAGATGTGGAAGAGAAGTGCATGCGGAGAAAGCTTTTGAAAAATCTGCTGGAAGTCTGAATTTTAAAATTTAAATGAGTTTAATAAATTAGTCAGCTAAAATGTTGCAATTTTTTGTGAAACTCAGCGCACAGATATTCTTTTTGGAGTAACGAACTGAACTGAGTAATGCCCATATAAAGCTTGAACGAAACTACAAGTTACATTTTGTCTGAAATGCTATTTTCTTTATAGTAAGAGGAAACCTCAAAAGCCGGAGTGGGAAACTTTAATACGCCAAATCTAACCTACTCCCAGCTCATATTTTGCCCATGGAACCACCGGATTAAGTATTACTTCATGGGAGAGAGAAAGATTTTAAGTCTCATATATCCACACACGGAATGTCTGAAGCCTAATATACTGTATGTGCCTTAGTTTTGTCATAATTAAAGCTTTCGTGTTCTATTTACCAGATGTTTCACACATGAGTGCAGTCAAATTTTCCACCAAGTCAGTTTTTTAAATTTTGTATGCACAAGATGTGATGAGACAGTGACTATAACACTATTCGTTTTACTTTTATTTGAGTTTCTGGATATCAATGGGATGATACTGGGTGAGATCCTGTACTATTTCATATGTATACATCAATAAATGCTAGAGACACTTCTTGATTTTCTTCTGAAATTTTTGCTTCGAATCGGTTTATTCACACTTCCAAATTTATAAAATAAGAGTTTAGCAAACCTTTTACAACACTCACAGGTGCTTAAAAGGTTTTTCTCACTTACGCTTACACTTCATATCTCCAGCTTAAAGCCGGTAGCTGTTGGCTTGATATATTCACAACAGATTCTTTACTTCAATAGTTGGTGGCGACGAAAGGCAGATGTTGTATCTTAATGCACATACTCATAAACACAAATATATGTGGATACCCAATATATATGTATAAAAATGTAATCATACTGAAGGTTGGCAATCCAAACGGAAGCGAAGACGGCCTTCCATTTATGCGTTTATGCGCGTGTGTGCGTGCGTTGTTAGGCTTGTCATGTGTTGCAAATTGTAATGACGCATGTTAACACTTTTCGTATTTTTTCCATGCAACATGATAAATTGCTGCTTGTTACGGACGACACGCTCGAATTGCAAATTTTGACTAGCACTTAATCTTTTAACGAGAATTTTTCGCCCAATTCTAAAGAAATTTCTTCGTTTTTGGTATAAGGAGATTCAATTGTGATTAAAATAGATTTCGCAGAACTATGTTCCACACAACTGCCTTGTGTTGCTATCAGACTCAGAGAATTTGGGAAAGGAACACGTATCTGGACACTCAGATACCCCGCATTTTGACCTCATACCGGATAACTTGGATCATGGAGTCGTCCAGCCGAACTCTGTTGGCTCCTTCTCTGTCAATTAAGGTAGATCTACTGCTCCGGAGTGCAGCCTCCTTCAGAGGAGTGATCATTCACTCAGATAACAGAGCTAGCCTTGAACTAACAGTGCATTCAGGGCTGGCTAAGGAGATCCTAACCTCGCTATCAATGGCTTCGAGTGTATATATTGTGTTTGTGATAGCGGAATCGCGCGAAATTACAAAAAATATGAGGTAAAAATAAAATGCACCCTAGAACCGCTATCGGTAGAATTGTGGAGCTTTTAACAGGCCATTGTCCTACTGACGTCCATACTGTTTAATAAAACAACAATAAATTTTGGAGAGAGTCCTATATTTGTTGTACAACCCTGATTTGAAACATATGCAAGTGAAATATGTAATAATAATTTATTTAAAAATATTACATTCGCAATAATAAATTTTAGCTTTGTTTGGTTGCAAATCTTCATTGCTTTCCACTATATTATTTTTTATTTTCAATTCAATAAATATTTTAAAACTAAAAATAATCGCACATAAAAAGAGCGCTTAGAAAAACGCGTTAAGTTGTTTATCGAGTATTTGGCTCTTTCAATGGCATACACACGTATGTACGTAACAGAATCACTGTGAGCCAACCAGCTTTCTTATGTATGTGTGTGTAGGCGCAAATCCAAAGCGGATGCTCGTAAATTTTATTTTATACGCCTTGCCACTTTAAAATGTTCAATAAGTTTTCGAAGCATGTTATTGCGTTCATATTTCAACTTCGCACACCCTAAACGTTAACACGGAATGATGAAATATTCCCAAGCATTTGCTCGTTTGCTCGAAAAAAAAAATTTTATTTTTCTTTTAAAATATTTGCTTTATTTAATTGTAAAAACTCGATATTCGTATGAAAGCAATAAAGAACGCCTTGCAAAATACGATCATATTTAGTAGCATTAACATTGACTGCCAAATTTCGGCTTCAAATTTCCTTTAATAAACAGAATGGTTGCTGATAAAGTAATAGCTTTGCTTCCGAAAACGCCGCGCTCCTAACCAGCTTAAGCAGTAAAACCAGCAAATGTCTCTTATGAGCAACAGCAACGCTACTTACACGCGTTCTACAAAAGGAATACATGTGCCCCTCGCACACGCACACACACACATATGGCACGTAAGAACTCACGTTGGAAATGCGAATTTCGGCGCGTAGCTCGGAATTTTAATTACTACGACTCGTCGGAATGGCACAATAAGAAGCTCGTTGACGGACCGACAACAGCACCGCCAACTGCAGCAACCGCGACGGTAGCGCCGAAAGCAGTTTGCCGTTGTCTCACTTGGCACCTTAAGCTATGCTACAACCTCAGCAGGCATGTGTCGGCACCGTCCATTTGTTGGTGTGTGTATGGGTAAGGAAATGTTAAGAGCTTTGCTTGACGCAAATTGTTTAACACTCCGAAACTCGCACCTTGAGCTTTCCGCAAGTTGGCAAGTTGCGCCCCTCGCGTTGTCTTTGGGGTCCCCGTTTTTTGCAAAGAGATTTATGCGCTGTCGGTTGTTTAATAAATATTCAGTTGACGGCGCTGCAACAGTGAATTGCAAGAGCATCATCTTCAGTATAAGCAACGACAACCGTTAGAATGCATCCTTAGCAGAAGCTGCTCTTTGAAAGGTTCAGGCGCACAGGCAATTAGTGCAAATGCTCCGCCCACGCAAGCACACATTTACACTAAGCATGCACACACTCACATAGGCACTCACACACGTGCACTCCAACCGTACTTGCTTCTTTATTTAAGATACAATTGTTAATCCTTTTTGCTGTTTTGCACACAATTTATGATTCATTCACGGGCAGGGCGTGCCCTGCTTTCTGCTGCTTTGGCTGCTTTCGGCGTTCATTTGGAATTTACATAAAATCAAGAGACTGAAGTGCAAACTCATTGGGATGTGAGAAATTGACTCGGCAATGTATGCGGAATGCCATTAAGGCGTTGCAAGTAGAGTATATTCGCATGCGAGTTTGTCATTTTATGGAATAATTAATTTTTGCACCGTGCAAAGGATTACAAATTGCTTGCAGAAACTAAATTTTTTATTGATATCTAATGGTTTACAAGGTAGACTTTTGGTTAAATTTGAAAATCTCGGCGGAATCTTATAGAACTTTGAATTCTCCTTATATCAACATAAGGAGAAAATTGTGGAGATTCTGCCTCCCTAACCTATTATGCCTTCAGAAATATATTACTTAAATTTGAAATGAACATTTTCAATATTTTTTGACTTACAGCTCTCTAAAGCGTAGCCACAGGCGTAGGAGGAAAGAACTCGTTGGATGAAAGGGACGGTGAATTTTTGACGGATGCATTAACCGAGTTCAATTGGCATCTTGTGATTCTCTACTGGCCTGTTGGGTCTCACACCAGGTCAGAAAGCGTTGGTCAACCACCCACAGCTGAGTAGTCATCAAGACAAAAACACCTGGGATCTCATACTTTTAGATATCCAGGTGATATAGCATATACATATATAAATTAAACCCCTATGCAGATTTGTGAAAGGACGCCTTTGCCGATGGCTAATATCCATCTATAAGTGCTTTTGGTTTGTCTTCATGAAGGATTGTATTTAACAGTCTAAGTGTGCTTCGGCACTTCGCTGAAGGAACAGCTATCTATTCTAGTCTAACCTTAAATGTAGCCGTTCGATTCAATCAGCCCATCAGTTTAACTTTCGGAGTCGGAATGACTGCAGCTTTAGAGGAGCTTCTTAACGTTGTCAAAGATTGCGTATAATTCGAGAATTTTAAAATTTTTTCTTAAACAAATTAACTATTTTTTTAAATGTATAAAACTTTAACCTTAAAATTTAGAAATTGTTTGGTTTGATAGTGAGAGGGGGCAAGAGATATATCTTATCCCTAATAACATACCACGAACATAAACTCTCAAAATAATGTCAGTACTGGAAATCCCAATGTTAACTTACTCTAGTCAACAAATGTTACGATTGATAAGGGTGGAAAATTGAGCAGAAAAGGCTGCTATTGACTAACTAACTTGGGATGTTACATGGGCTTACGGTTTGCAAAAAATAGTTTTTTCTTTTTGTTTTATCAAATTCTATAACACCTCAATAATACTGTTCGAATAGTGTCTTTAAACACGTTTTTCTCGAAACTGTGTTTTTGAAGCCGGTTGGCAAGACTTCTCGAAAACTGCTCAACTGATCTCCACGAAGTTTTACTCAGGTCTTTGAGATATAATTTTTAAAGATTTCTTTTTCGATTACAATTACTTAAAAAAAAAATAGTGTCGCGAAATTTTACTTTTTTGTAATATTTTTGTATTTGCCAAAAGTCCAGTTTTAAGTTTTTATTTTTGGTTCGGCTAGAAAACATATATTGAAATTTTCTATAAAACGTTTTATAAATAAGTTTATTTCCTGGATGAATGATAAGCTGAATTCCTATTGTTAGCCAGATTGTGCAAACTTCCTTAGCGCTTAAACTTCTTACTTTGTTATTAATTAAATTGCTTAATAAACAAACAAAAAAAAACATATTCTTAAAGCTCCGCGCTACAAACAATATCAGTTAGCTTTTAGCAAAATAATAAAAAAATAAGAATTATAATTAATTGGAGGCTCAACTTACTTGCGTAAATGTCCCGTGCTGCGCACAAGCCCGGGTGTGCAACAATTGACCGTCAGTGGAGTGCCTGTGAAAAGCGAAATAAAGCAAGTGAACAGCCACATAAACACAAAGATGCAAAAAACAAGGCAGGCAAAGTGAAACGAAAATATGAAAAGCGCAAAAACGATTTAAACTCAATTAAAATCACTTTGGCAAAACGTGTTGAAGTTACCAGCAAGGGTAACAAACAACACGCCCCGCCGAAATAAAACAAGCAAACAAAGGCAATAAAGAACAGCAATAGCAAGTGCCACAAAGAAGGAACAAGCGCCGGCAAGAGCTAAGCCAACAAGGTAACTGACTATGCAAATAGGGTGGTGGCGCCACCACCCCCCAAACACGCAAGAAATACAAAGGCTCGCGTTTTGCTGCTGCGGCGCAGGGCTGGGCGGCATTTTGCCAAACTTTTGGCCAACCGTGCATACACAGGTATGTACGTGTTAATAAGTATGTGGGGATAATGTTCCTGTGAACCTTTTTGTTTGTAATACCGTTGTGTGCGCGGTCCCACCCTCTATGTTAACCATATATGTATATGAGTGTGTGTGTGTACTTACCCTTCATTCGTCGCGCCAGCCAACGCGTTGCCAGCATGACGGCCAGCTTGGAGTGAGCGAAAGCGTCACGTGCATGGAATTTCACCGACCAAGTACCCACATTAAGCGGATCGTCGAAATCGATTTTGGCTGCGGCATGGGCATGTGCCGTCACATTTATCACGCGCCCGCCGCTGGGCGAGCGTCGCAAGTGCGGCAGTAGCAGTTGTGTCAGCAGAAAGTGCGATAGATAGTTCACCTGCAGATGCTCTTCGTAGCCGTCGACGGTGCGCCCGCCAAGTGAGCCGAATATAATGCCCGCATTGTTTATCAACACATCGATGCGCTCGAATTCGCCGGTGATGCGACGCGCAAACCGATGCACGCTTTCAAAGGAGCGCAAATCCAGATAGCGCGCCTCCACAAAAAATTCCCCCTCCGCATCAGCGCCGATACGCTGGCACGCTAGCTCGCGCTTAATAACCCTTGCCACGCGTTCCCCTGCGGCCATGTTGCGGCAGGCCAACACAATGCGGCCACCGCGCGCTGCCAGCGCTTTGGCAATCTCCAGGCCGACGCCGCTATTCGCGCCCGTCACAATAACTATTTGATCGCGTATTTGATTGTCGTTGGGACAGCGTTGGCCGCTCATCAGTGTGCTGCAAAGAAGAGTTGCGTTTTATTGAAATCTGCGCTAGGTGTGTAGAAGTGAAAAGGGAAGAGGTATTTGCAATGTTGTGTAAATGTGGTGAATAGTTGGATCAACAGCGCTTTAATTCGGTCAATGTGTTGTTGCAATAACACGGTTGTGCGGTTTGCCGCTGGAGCGCATTCTCTCTGGCTGCCACGCCACGCGCCTCTGCATCGCTATAAATTGCCTACACGCACACGCACACACACACACACAAACATGCGCGCCGTTATATGCACCAGCGGAGGTGGCACGGCGTGAAATCGCTAATTAATGAACAGTTTGAGCAAGCAACGTGACATTTAGACACACACAGGCGGAATGGTGCCGCCTGCTCCGACCGCAAGCCTGCACATATGCACTGCACTGCTGGCGTAAATGCAAGTTGCATGTCACATGTTGCGGCTTAGCAATTACATTGACATCCAGTCAGCCTTGTGTTTATTGTTTCAATTGTCCTTCGGTGTGTGCTTTCTTCTGTGGTGTTAAGCTCAATTAACCTTCAAAGCTATCAATTGGATTTTCTGCTCTCATCGTAATACTGCATTGAATTGCTGAGTAATTCTGATTTATTTCACAAAAACAAGAACAATGACATCTCTCAGTAATATAGTATATATTTATTTTTTTAAAAGCTGCAGGGAGCTTTGGCTTTGATTGAATGAAAAAGAGAGTAAGGCGGTTTAAATTAAGCAAAGGACATCAAAAATTGTGGGAAGGTATTCAGCAGAAAATAGTTTTGGGTTATTATTTGAATAAATATATCTATCACAATAAAAAATTCTCAAATAAAAATTCTCTTGCTCAATTTTTCACAATATCCTCAAAAATGTGTATCTACAAGGAGCGTTCAAAATTAAAAAGGACTTTAAAAACAAAAACAGAACAAATGGGGTTTTCGGCAAAATCAATTTATTTTATTCAAAATAGTCTCTTTCTGCTTCAATACAGCTGAAAGCATGTCGAACGAGTGTCTTACGCACAGTTTCAATGGATTTTCCGGTGATCACGGAATTTGATTGGCCCACATGTTGATAGTCATATATGTCCTCATAACCACTTTGCAAACGTTGAAACCACTCGTCCATTCTGCTAAATGATAGACAATCATCGCCATAAAGCTGTTTCATCAATTGAAACGTTTAGGTAAAACTTTTACCAATTTTAAAACAAAATTTAATGTTGGCTCTTTGTTCTAAACTGATTTTCGCACCGATAACACAAAAATACTTACACTTAAAATGCAATAGCTTCACTTCCAATTAATGGAATGTCATGAAATTCTCACTTAGCAGAATCTAAGGCACCAGTCGACATATAGATGGCGCCACCAGGGGGAACTACATTCAAAAAGTCCTGTTTACTTTGGAACGCACCTTGTATATCTTATGAAACGTGTAAATATTTTTACTCTAATGTTGTAGGAATCAAGTTCTTGTTTCGAACAAAAACGAAAGGATAGTAGAATTTTGAACAGGTATGCATGCATAATGGATGAAATGAAACAATCCGTTTTAGACACGTACGTTTAAAAGCATTAACAAAGTCGGGGCTACATGACCGGAATGAACCCGGATTTTAATCCGGTCACGTACGATATAGATAGCCGCCATACAAACTAAATGATAGGAAGCAAGTATTTGCTGCTTAGACCACTACAGGATATAGCTATCAAGTGAACTGACCGATCAAAACAAGAAAAATCTAAATGTTATTATAGCTTCAGGGCCTCCGAAGTTAGTTGATTTTTCTAGTTTTTAAGAAATTTTGAATTATTGAAGAAATCAACAGTGGTTGGACTTATAATTGCTATGTTTATGCTCGTAGATATCTCTGAAGTGTCTGAAATTCGCTGAGTTTGCAATAAATGCAGTGAACTATTAGCGGTTCAGCCCTTTAAATATGTTTTTCCAGGACATTATATTGCTATCCCGAGTTGTTCAAACTTCACTTTCAACAACTTGATAGAAAATATTTTACAAGGGTCATAGTCCGCTGAATACACACACATCTGGCGAATGATTTACTATTTTCGGGGAAATTGGTGAGTTCGCGTAAATTTTTTCTGATATAAAAATGCACATAGCTTCCAAGTTATTTGGTTTTTTCGAAGCACACTGCACTCCCTTCACCTCTTTCTCGATTTTCACTGAAAAATTGTGCGAATTTTACATATGAACATTGTTGGAAGTCATCGATGCAATTATTTATTTTGAATAGCTGCGAAAACTGTGTGCACCCGTGGCACGGTTTCGATTTCACACACTTACCGCACCATTATAACGGCACCGAACACAACCGCGGCGATGGCCGGCCACCAGGTTTTGAATGGGTCAGCATTTTCGAAGAGGGACAACAGTTTATCCATTTTTGCTGCCGTGGCACTTTTGCCGCGTTGTCGCTGTCACGAGTGTACACGTCGCTGGTAGAGAGCTGTACAGCGAAAATAAAAACAAAAGCAACAACTAAAATGCGTACACGTTTGAACGCGGCGTTATTGCGTTACTAAATCCTTGTGTTGCATAATACTCATTCCGTTTTATAGCACACTCGTGCGCCTGCTGGTAGGATGAGTCGCTGGCGAAGCACCCGCACGTATGTCGCACGCCCGCACGCATAAAAACGTAAGAATGCGCGGTTAATACCAGTGCTGGGTTTGACAGGATTGCGCTCGATAACGGCAGCGCACAATGAAATGTTATGAAATATTATTCTTTATTGTTTTTGCTTTTGTTATGCGAATTGCTTTTCCGTTTTATTACTTGATCGATACGGTGCGCCTCGAATCACTCGCACGCAACGAATGCGAGCACAGAACTTCAGCCACCAACACGCCACGTCGCCGATTACCCGGCTCTGAGCTTGTTAAATCGTGAGCTCCCCTGCTCTGCTGGTGACATTCCCTATTAGAATGCATTTTGTGGTTGAATGAAATTTATGTGTGCGCTGACCACCGACATCGCGCGCCACTCAGCTTGCCTAACCGCTACTAGTACAGTGAAATAGAGGGCCGCCGTATGCCAGAAAAACTACTGGAAAAGGGGTAAAGTGATTCTCAACTGCGAGGCAATATAGTTAAAGGGGTTAAATATTTTTCACTTCCTAAGTTTCAAGTGTGAATTAAATTTTTTTTCATCTAATCAAGTGTGTAACACACTGTGCCCTGACTTTAGTCGCTCGGATCACATTCCACTCCGGTTGGTAGCTCAAGTGATATTTAAATTTTACATCTACAATCACAACCAATCAATCAATATTTATGCATGTGCATTTTTCTACTCTCCATGATTTTCCAATTGCTCCCTCCCATTACATTCTTTATTCGACAGTTCACCACACCAATCTGATTTTAAATTGACATTCCCAATACAACCTCAAAACCAAGCTGCGCTATCCGAACCCCAAATCGGGGGCATGGGCATTGCGGGGATGCAGTAACCAAAGAGCTCGACTGGTTGAGCTCCCATGGACTGGTTTCACGCAATTGACATGGAGTAGTCAGTGCAAGAAGGCAGAAACGACTAGCAATTGAATTTAAATGGAGTGCTCAGCAAAGCGATCGGCAAAAGCCAGTCGGGCAGACATGTGAACACCGGAACGCATAATGAAGGACGCCACGGGCTTGGCAAGGCACTGCTGCACGTAGCATCTATTCCATGACACTCAATGCATTATTTCAGTTTAAGCTAGATTCAATGAGCATCCATTGCGCTATTCTTCACTCACATGAGTTTTGTGGTTACCCAGTGAACATTCTTGTAAAATTGTTAACATAGATTTACAATTCCGATTCCTAATCAGTTCAAGCTAATAGAGAGAGCAGGAATTTTTTTGTATATCTATTTTCATTACAATATTTGTTGATCTATAAACATCATCCTTATCTTTATTCAGTACGAATATTATATGTTTTTCTATATAATTAATTTATCATACTCATGCTAAGTGTTTTGAGTTCAGCTTCCTTTAAACAGCTGTATTATGGCATGCTCCTAACCTTATAGCGGGATTCTGTAACCAGTCACTAGTCTCTATTTGAGACATTTTGTGGTAAAATCTCAATTTGTGACTAGTTACTATTCACTAAACAGTCTCTAGCTTTAGTCTCAAAATATTDHMTCAAATTTGAGACCTGGTAGTTAGCAAGTCACAAAACCAAAAAGAACTTTTGTCTGCCATTTTGAATATACTGAATAGAGATCACCATAGATATTAATCGATTGTCGTTTTTTTATATTCTGTAAGCAACTCAAACACGGAAAGGTTAAAAATAAATAAATTTTACATAAATTTCGTTAATATTATGAAACAACAAGTCAACATATATTTTTATTTTTATTGATAATTATGTTTTTTGACTATGTTATAGAAAACTTAATATTTGTTATTGACATATTTATTTTCATTCAAGTATAAAAACATCTCTGAATAATGAAATGTAATAGAGTTTGTGACTATCACTTACAGAATAGCAAAATCGTCTCAAGTCTCAAAAATAGTCTCTGCCAAATTTAGAGACTTGATGCTGTATCGCAGTACAGAATCGCACGGTTAATGGGTACACAAATATTATAGAGACTTATTGAGATATTATAAATTGGTATGGAAAGCGTTTTCGTAACTTTTTCTTGCGGCGTTCATCGCAAATCTTGTTGTCATCAGAGGAAACCAACTTGTATCTCTCTTTAGTTCAGTTCCAAAAAATGTTTTCATAACTGGCATCCCTACATTTTTTTATAAGAGTATAAGGCAACCATACTTAACTGGGTATTGCCGCAAAAACCATTGGAGCAAACAAATGTTCAGACTTCGCAAAGCTGTCAACACATAACAGACTAGCGAACTATCTTCCTCGCTTCTATGCACTCCGATTCGTTTCTCTGTGATTCCTGTGCGTTTTGCCAATCTTTCTTTGCGTGTATGACATCATTACTAGTATTGCATATCCAACGCGCGATATTGCCGCCACTGATACCTTTGCCTCTGCGTTTGTGAAGGGATTCCATATGAAGTGGCGCTGCAAATAGCGGTCCGAGTAATGGGCAACATGTTGTCACTTGAACACAAAGCCGCTGAAACAACAAAAACAAAAAACAAATTCCTGTGAAAACTAAACCTTGGGGCTAAAGCCAAACGTTTTTTGTTTGCAGAGCTATGATTCTTTATTGAATTCAGCTTCAGCCCTAGTCGGTGGCGGAATGTTTTAATTAATTAAAATATATTTGGTTTGTGGTGGCAACTCAGTTTAATACTCGTGTGATACAATGGGGCACGTTAAATTCTTACATCCGGTCTGACAATTGACTTAGATCTGGATTTAACGGCAGACAAAGCGTGTTCTAACGCTCAACCCAGGTATGTTTGCATGTATGTGTATGAATGTATCGTTCTAGTGGTCTTGTAGCTAGCGTGGCGCCCATTGCTGATGACTGGACATGTACGATATAATAACCGGTTGGTGACTAAGTGTATAAATTGTCCGCATCTGAGAGAGATTTATAAATGTTAGCGGCTTAAGTGATTAATTAGAGAAGAGATTTGTGTCTTCTGAATATAATATTGACACAGTAAACTCCCACAAATAATACTTAGTAGATCTATGCCTTTATTTTTATATATATTTTGTAAATTTTTTTAAATTAAGGAAATTTATTTGTTATAGCATTCTCGTGCAGATTACGTGCAGATTACTTTGATAATTTTTATTCCACTTTCAAGTTCACATTATGTTGTACCACAATTTTTGCAACTTAAAGGTTTTGATTTTCCGAGGGTTCATTAATTCTAGGATTATTTTTTCTAGGCTTCAGATTAAATTGCCTTGTAATGATCACAATGGAATTGTGTAGAAATTCACGCAAGTGAGGAAATTTCGCTGAGCGCCATTCACTTGGGTAACGATTATTTTTACGGGTTTTTAATAAGACCACTACAAATTTTTTTCTAATAAAACAAAAAAGGTTTGAGTTATTAATGAAATTCGTTATTCCTGTGAAAGTGCATTCGATGCCATTATGCATGGAACTTGATTTATTTTGCAAGGTCACCACGTTCCAGGCCTTGAACCCAATTTTCGACAGTTTTCAAGCATAAATCGGCCGATATTGCTCCAATTTCACGTACGAAGTTCGTCAATTGTCGCTAGTTTGTTGGCATAGACCATAAACTTGACGTAGGCTCACAGGCAATAGTCTAACGGCATCAAATCGCACGACTGAGGCTGCCAATTGACCGGGCAATTTCGTGCGATAACACGTTCACCAAACTTCGATTTCAATAAAACAATTGTGACATTCGCTGTGTGGCTTGGGGAGCCGTCTTGTTGGAACTACATATTGTCTAAGTCCATATCACCCAATTCGGGGCAAAAATATTCGGTTATCATTGAGCGGTAGGGAATGCCAGCCTTGATCATCACGGAAGTAGTACGGCACCAAACCGTAATTTTTTTGGTATGCAATTATGACTCATGGAGTTTGGATTCCTGCCTGACCAAAAATGTATATTTTTCTTATCGACGAAGCCATTCAGTCAGAAATGAGGCGAACATACGACAATTGTGGCTATCAAGCGGCTACGGTTCTTGCGTCAATTTGACCTTGTAAGGATGTAGGACAAGATCTTTTCGCAAAATTCGCCACAATGATGTCATAGAGATGCCCAACACTTAAGAAGGACGTGTGGGAGACTGATTTGGGTCTTCTTCAATGATGGGACACCACGGGCCTTTCTTTGTCTCACTGGCACGGAAAAATTCTTTACTGTGCCTGTGAATTTCAATTTTTCCACTAGACGCTCAATTGCTGACCTGACAGGACGAATCTAATGAACATAAATTAGACATAGCGTTCTTAAGGTTGAGGCCGCTGACTCCGAACTTCGGTAGTAGATTTTAATAATTTGGACTCGTTCTTGGATCGCATATCTTTCCATGATGAAATGGCAAAACTTAACGAAGCAAAATATGAAAACTGCGGCAAAAATTTGGTCGCGGTTGCTGTCCCCATCGGTCTACTTTTGTAGTGTCCCGATAAATATGGCTTAAATAGTTCAAGACTTCTTGTCCGCACCAAGTATCCTCTGTGTAGCCAAAAAACATCCATTTGAAGGCGATCTAAAGTGAGCAGACGAAACATTCTTCCCCAGTGTTATGCGCTGGGTTTGGGAGCTGCCACGTAAAAAACACGACCAATGAAAAGAAGAAAACAGTCGCGGATAAGATATCCGCCTTTGGATGACGACCACTGAAAACGTATTAAGGATTGCGATTAAGGGCATGCATCTGGAATGTCCGGTCTCGTAATTGCGAAGGTGTCGCTAACCAGCTGGTTTATGTCCTCGTTAAGTCGTAAAGTCAATTTTATGTACACTTTTTCTTTTATTTTATTTAGATTTATGCAAGTATGCTGCAATGACTTTATAAGGTTACGTACACCATATGCTCGTGTTCATTTCTATGTCGTCCTTCTGAAATATATTACTTCCATTGCTTCCAATCAAAACCAATTAATTAAAGAACTAATCCACTACAGCGCTTTGCTTATTATAATGTCTATTAAACTTTTCAGTAGATTTTAGCATATTTTGTAACTTTCTGATTATCTTGCATTAAGGGAGAAATTAATGGAAAAACTGCGCGAATCGAACAATATGAGTGTAATTTGTTTACACATATTTTTGCATAATGTAATTAGCAATCAAGAAATGTTAACAAAAACATCTCTTAAATTTATTGTAAACAAATTTCGTTGCACTAATTTTCACAAAGTGAAATTTTCGAAATTGGAAATAACGACAACTCAATATGCATAATAATGTTTTCAGACTTAATTTTTCATTTTTGTTTACGGGCACGTGCCATAAACAATTTCAAATACTTTAAATTAATTTTACTAATGACGGCGAAAAACGCTTGCTTCTGCAATTTCAGCGCGTCAACAAGAACATTGTAATATGACAGCATTTTTGGCAGCAGCAAACTGAAAAATAAACAAAAAAAAAATAATAATGTACATGAGCATGCGTCTGCATAATTACAGGCACATTAGGGCGGCGCCTTTGCAAATTCGTAAACTGGTTATTAAAATTTATGTTAAAGAAATTGCTTCAGATGTATGTATGTATGTATGAGGGAAGGTTGAGGTCGTCGCTTGTGGTCTTTTGCGTTGAGTTTACAAGGGTTCAAATGAATATCGAATGGAGCTAGTCATAGAGAACTTGTAATTACTTAGAAACTGAAGCTGCAAGTTTAATAATAATGAATTTTGAAAATTAACGATTATTAAAAGTGATTTAAATTTCTGAAAAATACTTACAGCGACTATATATAGCAACCAATAACGAGATTTCTGGCAGCTTGAAACATTTTTTTTAGTGTTTACTTTTAAGAAGAAAACGGGCGGTTATACTTATAGTGCAATTCTCGTCATGATTCTGTGTGGCAACCATGTGCAGCGGTAATAATTAGCACAACTTCATATTGTGCTTTCTTTGAGTTATAACTCGCTAATATTCCGCTTGGTATGCCCAGCCTACGCACCCTAATGTGAACGCTATGCGCGTATGTTGCAGCCAATGCGCTCGTATGCACCGATGTACATCGCCAACGATAACTTAATTAACGAGAATTGTATTATTAAATTAAATCAACAACAACACAATTTAATTTTACCAATCACTATTTATTTGAATTAGTTCATTTATAGGCTAACTGTAAGCTAATTTGTATGTACGCGTGTTTGTATGTGTGAGCTGTCATGATGTGGAAATGTGAGCGTGTGTGAGTGTGTGAGCGCTGAAACGCATTTGAATTGCTTAATAAACCTTTTATACAAGTGTTGCTGTTTTCGCATTATTTAACTATTTTTTTTTATTTTTATTTTATAAATTAGTTTTCATTTAATAAACTTTAGACATTTTAAAATTAGTATCACTATTAAGCTTCTCTTGCAACTCAGTTGTTTTTCAGATAGATATTTTACGTTATCTTGCCACCATAATCGGTCTCCTTAACTTTTTTTTTTTTTAATTTTCGCTAGAGCTAACGTTATTTTCATGCGATGTCTTGAGAGTGAATTATTTTCATATGCTTCTAAGTAATAGGAGTTATTGGAGGAATGAATTAATTTAAGTTCGTGTATGATGCTCGCAAAGTGAATTAGCTATGTTCGCTTTTCATTTAAATTTTATTTTTAATTTTGTATTTTTTATTTTTGTGTTATTATTTTTATTACTTTTTTCGTGAAATGAGCTTTTCGACTTGACTTAATCTAAATCATCTCATGTTGGCTACATGTGATCTCATATGTACGCATTTAACAGTTAATCATAAGTTTCTTTGTTTGTGCCTTTCACACTTGATTTGTTTGTGCTCTCCATTCATGTATCTACGAGTAATTAGTTACTAAAGTATTACATTGGTTTCATGTAGTAATGCTTAAATTATGCTACGCATTTCCGCTTCAATTTCGCTTTTTCCTTGCTTCAAATGTGCAAATCATCGCAATTTCCTTATATTTTATTTCTATTTCCTTTTATATACACTCGTATATATATGTGTATATACAAACATATATACCTTGACTTTTTAATAATTCATGGCTTTTATATTACAATCGAATAGTTCTACTCAGTTGTTATCTACAAGGCAATGCAATTAGTTAGACTAAAATGTACATGTGTGTATGTGTGTATGTAGTGTTGTTAAACAATTTTCTAAAGTTTGTGAATGAAATTAGCTTCATATTCGGTATTCCTTGATGTTAAAAATAGCAATGCAAATAATTATAGTAAGTTTATAGAAGTCAACAACAACTATTTACAGTTATGTATAAGATAGATTATGTTTGGTCTGCAATCCTATGCTTTGATATGCATGCATGTGTATGTTGTAGGAGTGTTCGTCAATTAGCATTTCATAAATTATAACGGTCACTTGAAATTTCACTTTGACTTGACGATAATATTGCTCGGTAAAATAGTTTGGAAATACGAAGAAGAACTGTGCGCTGAAAATATGGGTTTGCAAATATAGCTGAGGAAGAGGAAAATGAATCACGGTAAATGTTTAAGATCGCCTGTATGAAGGTTTGAATTTGTCTCAGGATTTTTTGTAGCCTTATTGCCTTATTTAAAATCAATATAAATTATGTTTTTAAAAGTTTGTTCTGTGACAGTGATGTAGATGTAAACTAACCAAGAAGTGGGTAGGCTTGAAATTCAACTAATTTGTTATATTAAATTGGGTAATATATTAAGATATAAACCCATCATCTCTTCCTAGCATAAAGTTCAGTAACGTGAAATTAGACAATATTCGATAAGATAGCTCTAAGAACTTTTCTGTGAAAGATCTTGCGAAAATATGATTGGCTGAGACACATTGTGCCAATGGATGGGAAGTTTCCAGCTTTGAAAACATAAAATATGGTCTTAAAGGAATACGAAGACTTCCGAAAGCTTAAGTGCAAAAGGTGTTAGTGTCGCTTAGTGTTTCGAATGCAGTCCAACTGCCGATGAAAATATTGTAAATTCTACCACTTTATTTATAGTTTTAAATTCCTTCTAAATATATACATATATTTTAAAGAAACTTAATTAAGTAACAATTTTGCATATGTAAGGCGGTTAGGTTGAGAATTGAGAACAACATAGTGTTTTGAAAGGTTTGAAAATATAATATTTCAGGATTTTTTTCAAAATATATGAATAATTAAAAATGTTTAATTCCGGCGCAATGTTTTGATTAACTCATTAAGGCTGATATTTCGACAACTGATGTATGGCTTATGAACTCCTATCGCGAACTTACAGCATATTTATTCGAATTTTTCTTATTTCTGTTCGCTAACAACTAATTACTTAGCACTAATCCTTACAAATACGTACATACTAATTTTGTTAAGTAATTTCTTGGGCTAACAAAATATTTACAGCACTTCAGAGATTCGCGTCGTTCGACACCAGCAGCGGCAGCGGCAGTAGCAGCAACAACCCAAGTTGCCACCTCCAACCACATCCCATTGCACTGCAGCCGGCACACTGCCCCGGACCGCTTCATAGTCAGCAACGAATCCACTTGAATGTGAGATGCCTTCGTTCGTATAATCGCGATGTGAAGTGAACTCATCCGGGCGCTTGGTAGCGTCGTGACTTAAATTTGCGAAAATGCGATGAAATCTGCAAAACAAAAATAAACACACACGCATAAATAAGTGGCGGTAGCAAAGTGAAAACAGAAACAAAATTAAAATAAAAAAAACAAAAACCGATAAGAATACAAAGTTGCAATTGACTGGGAGGAAGCATAAAAGGTGGCAGTGAAGCTCGGATATGCGACTGCAAGCAGGCAGAGAGCGTTGAGGAGGGCGGGGAAGGGGATAAATGTATGAGGTGCGAGCTCTTGCAGGAGCCTACAGTTATTTTTTGTGACGCATCTGCATACTTACATACACATACACAAACAGTTAAGTTGGGCAAGGCTTAGCCTTACTTTTTCCCTTTTTTATCAGTTGGTAACAGCTGCGCACGTGTGTCTGTCTGCCTGTCTGTCTGTATTGGGATCACAAATGTATAAATTGGCCGGCAGCCAAATATCGTCATCGTGCAATTTAGGTTTTAGGTGTACGAGTGAATAAATCCAAAAGACATAAGCTGCATATTTGTATGAAGGCATTTAATGTTTTTTGCGATTTCAATTCAGCCAAAGTTTAAAGTACATAACTATTTATCTTAAACGGTCTCTAAGTAAACATTCATAAAGTTAAACGATACAAGTTTTTGACAAGACACAGTTTTTACTTTTGTGTTATGAAACACATTTCTTTAAAATAACACATTTTTTTGCTGACATTTTCGCATGAAGGAAGACTGACTCGAAGTGTGCCAAATAAAAAGCAGCAGTTGTGGAAAAAAAGAAAGCGGTGGGGTCAGAATTTTGGGCAAAAATTAATATTTGCTGATTACTGCCTGACCAGCAAGTTTTGATTAATAACATTTTGTACCTACATATGTATATATGAAAGCAAATTTCAAGGTTTCCAGTTGAGAAAGGGATTTTTTGATGACTAGATGGCTTGCTTGTCAAAATAAAAAATTTCATGCTCAACGAATTGTGTGCGTAAAAGGTTTGAGAACCGCTGAGCTGATTTACTTTCACCCGTCCGAAGTGCTACTATCGGGCAATGTATGTATCTTTTGGTCTAGAATTGCTCAAGACTTTTTCGCTCATTTATTCGCATATTATAATATTACTTCTCTGCCTTCCCCCGAGGCATGCAACTCATTATACGCTTAAAGTGAGACAACAAAACACAATGGCAATGCTGTGTCGGCGTAAGTCCCTTTCTCATATTATATTTTCCTTTTCCTTTAGCAACGAATTTCATTCCATTTTTCCTTAGTTGATTTTTTGTGCTCACTTTTATTTGCTTTTCATTTGATTTGCTTTTTTATGACCGTTAATGTGGTTCTTAATGCCAGCGCAAGGACACCATTTTCCCTCTGTTCGTTCACTGTTCAGTGTTCGGTGTCGCAGCTGCTTTTACGGCGCTTGACTATTTGGCGTTGAAAATGAATTTTTTATTTCCGAAACATACCCTCACACACACACGCACACACGACATATACTTGTATTTGTGAAGGAAGTAGAAGAGTAGACTAAAACAATACAACGTTTGTAGATAAAGCTGTGTAATAAGGCAGATGAAAGGAAGTCGTACGTGCAATTATGCACCGGCACATGGACTTACATACATATGTGTGTAAGAGTGTATGTGTGGATATACAAGATATGTATATAGCGTAACCACAGCCAACGCAAATATTTCATTTTCATACAAAACTATGTATGTATGAGTGTGTGGCAATGCTTTTTTGGCGAGGCGGTAGGTGTGGAAAATTACTGGCATATGTTGTTGGCCGAATGAAATTAAAATTTTAAATGGGCTACTCAAAAATAAAGTAAGCACAGAGTAATTTATGCAAAAAATATAACGCACCAGCGAAAGCCAAACAATTGCCTTCAAGGGAAATATGTTTGTGGACGCTCTCTAGGAAATTCAAAGTTTTACGCACAATAATAAGTGTATCCTTATCCCTTGTGATTTAGCATAGTCAAAGGGAAAATCATCAATCAATATAACTATTGGGTAGTCTAAAAAGTTTTTTCGTATTTTGTCAACGGATGCCATTGTAGTCATATACTATGCGAAACATGCCCCGTCGAAAAAGTCGTTGAAAGTATGAAAAAGATTGACCAGGATCGTTACATAAGCAGCCATGACATCGCTGAGGAACTCAATCATCCACTATGAGCTGCTCCAGCCTAGACGAACGATTGATTCTACATTTTGCTGTCAACAACTGTTGCGATTGAAGCAAGCAATCGAAAAAAACGGCCAGAACTGATCTTCCATCAGGCCAACGCTAGACCACACACATTTTTGATGACTCTGAAAAAACTGGGAGAACTTGGTTGGGAAGTTTTGATGCATCCATCATATAGCCCAGACTTTGCACCATCGGACTGTCATCTGTTTCGGCCAGTGAAGAACTCTCTTAATGGAGTAAAGTTGGCTTCAAAAGAAGCTTGTGAAAATTACTTGCTGCAGTTTTTTGAACATATTCCAGAAAAGTATAACACTGTTGGAATGATGTCTCTAGCGGAAAAATGGTCGACCGCAATGGTACATATTTAGTTTATTAAAGTTCATTAGAAATATAAAAAATTGAAGGTTGATTAGAAATACGAAAAGACTTTTTCGACTACCCAATATATTCCTTGTGGACACACATCTATCTATTATAAGCTGCTGCAGAATGTCCTAATATAAAGGATATCAAAAATTCGCTTCATCGACGGACATTCGCAGTAAAAACCAAGTTCCTGGCGTTAAGTGGCATTCTGTTGCACCTGTATAACAATTCAGTTAAGACAATTTTCGAAAATGTACAGTGAAATTTAAAAGATGTGCAGTCGAAAGACACAAGTCCGGAGAATAATAAATAACAAAAACTCTAATATTGGTCGAAGCTATAATACCCTTTACTGGTATACATAAAAAGATCTTGACTTTGATCGGTCAATTTGGAGCAGCTTCTTAAGGAGGGTTCCCCGAAAACTGAGGGACTAGATGTATAAACTAAATCGACTCATATCATCTGACTGGTCATTTATATATAAACTTTATTTTGTCTTGGAACTGTCCCTCTGGTTCGAAATAATATAAAAATGTCTAGATATTTGCTGGCAGGAATAAACGCTTGCCCGTATACTTTGAGAAAGAGCTTATTATCATTGTGGTCATTCCTGATTTCCTAGTGAGGTTTTATACTGTTATGCTTATGAGTAAAACCTTCGAATACATGCTAAAGCAAAAAACAAAGAAAAACCAGGCTCTACTTACATATGTATTTATGTTAAATACTATATTTTATATAGAAATATTTTCGAAAACTTATGGTTATGCAATTTAATGCGTTATTCAAATGTGTTTTCAAGACTTATTATTGCTGAGACACGCTGACTTGCACTCTTTGGAAACCGCAAACAAGCCAATTTCTCCTCTGTCCTTAACTTTTTCATCTGTGCACACAAACAAGGCAGAGCGAGAATGCAACCGGATATTAAAACCCATGCTAATGAAGGTCCCAGCTCCAGCAGCAGAGAAAGGGGAACAAATATTGCATGCGGCAAGGCAGAGATTGAAGTTGAATAACAGGATATGAAAATGAAACTGCCACACAGTCGCACTCATTCAACATTTCAACACAACAAGTTGCCCAGATGGTTGACAAAAAAAAAAAAAAGATTTGCCAGGCAAACAGAGAAAGTAAATTAATGTGCCAGCCGATTGCCGGCCATGGCGTGACTTAAACGCTCCACAAACTTTTGTCAAACATTTTCACTTTTTTGCCACTCAACTTTCGCCTTACTCAGCAATCTTTCTGGCGCTTGTTGAGTGTTGCGATATTATTTCGGCCACAATCTGGAACATTAATCGTCAATTCGCCATTTCCCAAATCGATTTTGTCCCTTTAATTCAATGCTTTAGGGGAAAATCGTTTTGCAAATTATTGTGAGCCATAAATTAGCCGCCGCCAAGAGAACTGAGTGAGAATTGATTTTAGTGCCGTATTATTTGGATTTTAATCAATTAGCTACTTTACTCTGCGGTCAATTAAATTCCAAGCACCTCAAAAGTGGTTGCCTAATCAGGTGATTATATCGGATGTCTAATTTATCAGCGGCTTCATTAATAGTTTAAATTCGCCAACAAACCCTTCAGCTAGGAATTTGCCAACCCTTATTGTTGCGCCAAATAATGCAAATGCTCGCGTCGAATTACAATTCAGCGTTTCGCTTACCCACTGGCAATCTCTTTAATTACACACTCAAGTGGTTAGAGAAGTATTTTCGGCATTCTTTCGTTCCACCATTTCACGGTTTTTGATGGTGCAATCGATAATATATGTATTTCATCAATCACATAAATTATTACATAAGTAAATATTTCAATGGTTGCGGTTGAACAGCAACTAAGGCTGACTATGCGAGTTTCCGTATTGAGGTTACGCTTTCCACTACTTAAATATTCAATACATAGTTTGTCGAATATATTTACTTTTTTTCTGAAGTGAATGTAACTAATTTATTAACCACTGCTATTTATGACAGATTGCTTCTGAATAACAAGAACACCATGAAACGCTTTAATATAGAAGCCTGACATCTGATTAAAGTCATTATTGAGCTTATTGAGACCTAGTGAAGTTCACGCAAGTGGGGAAAGTTTTCTCAGTGCCATTCATTTGGGAGTGGCCAGAAACGATTGTTTAATATATGGTTCAAGCAGCTTATGACTTCCGGACCAAATATCATTTGGGTAGCCAAAAAGCATCCATATGAAGGTGAGTTAAAGCGAAACATCCCTACTTAGAGGATTTGGGATCCTTCACGTAAACAACACTCCCAATAAAAAATAAGAAAACAGTCTCGGTTGAGAGATTCGCATTTTGATGAAGATCATTGAAATGTATGTGGCTCTGTAACCTAAAGTTAGTCAATATCAAAAGCTTTGTCAGGATCGGGAAGGACCTTTTCGAGCCGTTTGTTACCAAACAAGGTTTCAGACAAGGCGACTGCCTGTCGTGAAACTTTTTCAATCTACTACTGGAGA